GCCTGCAGAGCTCCTCTGCCGCAGACGCAGGCCTCCTAGGGCCCGTCGCCTCCTCCTCTGCCGCCGGCGCCGGCCTCCAAGAGCCTGTCGCCTCCTCCTCTGCCGCAGGCGCAGGCCTCCAAGAGCCCGTCACCTCCCCCTCTGCCACAGGCGTCGGCCTCCAAGAGCCCGTCGCCTCCTCCTCTGCCACAGGCGCCAGCCCCCAAGAGCCCGTCGACTCCTCGTCTGTCCCAGGCGCAGGCCCCCAGACTCTGCTGGTCCCTGCCGCCTCTCCATCGGTCCCTCGGTTCCTCTGGGCCCTCCCTCCGGGTACCCCTCCTCCCGCCCTGCTCCTTGTTCCTGTGGGCATCTGGGATCCGCCCTTTTGGGGGGGGGGGGGGGGGGGGTCTACTGTCACACCCTGTCCTGTCTCCCTGTTTGGTTCAGCCTTGTGTCTCATTAATTACTCCCACCTGCCTCTCGTTTTCCCAATCACCTTAGCTCCCGGTCCTCCTGTATTTAAACCCCTTCTGTTCTGTGTCTTGTGTCGGTTCACTGTTTCATTGTCCAGCGTGCGTTCTAATAAATCTGTGTAAAGAATCCTACCTGTCTGCCTGCTTCCTCCCCGGTCTGGATCCTCACCTCTTCTCCACTTCATCCAGCCGGCACATGTGACAATACGCAGTTCAAACTGACTTACGGCGCTGGGATGTTCGGAACTGAGAGCTCCATGAACCACGTGACCGCGAGTCGGCGAGTTCAAAGAGTGTTGTAACTCTCTCTTTCTACAGCTCTGACAGAACCCTGCCCTCCGCTCCCAACGATTGGACAGGAATTCGAGAAATGTGATTGGTAGCTAAGACTTGTGCTCTCATTGATTCCACCCAAGTTCCTCCCACTGACGCTAGAACTGAGACAAAAAGATCCGTAACTGTAGATTTGAGGTTTGTACCTGTAGAATGAAATGTGTGTTTTTGAGAGTTTTGATTTCAAACTTGTACCTTGATTTTTTCAATTTGGAAGTCTGCTAGTTACAAAAGGAAAGTTTCATGTTTCTGAATGAATGTTTGATGTTACAAAATGAGTAGTAAATGTACAAAATAAAAGTTTGATTTTACAAAATAAAAATACATGTACAAAATACAATGTTCCTGTTACAAAACAAGAAATACAAGTACGAATTGAGAATTACAAGTTAGAAAACTAAAGTTACAAGTTACAAATCCAAAGTTACATGTGATGAAACATGTTCGAAGTTATAAAACTTGGTACAAGTTACACTGAATATTGTCCCAATCCTAGCTCCATAATCATGCTAAATAAGAAATTGTACAAGCTCATAAATCTTAAAGTATGTGACTTGTGTGCAGGGCCGGATTATCAGTGCAGGGTCCCCTGGGCACAATGTGCTTAGCCCCCCCCCCCCCCGTCTCCTTCCTCCTCGACTCCTATATCCTTCCTCCTCTTGACTCCTGTTTCCTTCCTCCTCTTGTCTCCTGTCTCATTCGTCCTCCTCGACTCCTATTTCCTTCCTCCTCCTGTCTCCTGTTTCCTTCCTCTTCTCGTCTCCTGTTTCCTTCCTCCTCTTGTCTCCTGTTTCCTTCCTCCTCTTGTCTCTTGTCTCCTTACTCCTCTTTTTGTCTCCTCTTGTTGGTCTCCTCTCTTGCCTTCACAAAAACTGCTTTCTGGCCTTTCTATTAGTAAATTCATTTACAATGTCATCAAAGTCCAAGTTCCTGACAAGCTGAGATTCCATAGCCATCAGTGACAGTGCACTGAGGCACTGGTGAGTTTGTGTTATTCTCAGTTCATTTTTCATTCTTTCCATTTGTGAAAATGATCGTTCCCCTTCACAATTTGTAACTGGTAGAGTTAGAAAAATCTGCAGGGCCACAAACACATTAGGGAAGATGGACTGTAGACTATGTTTTAGCCCGAAAACGATCCTGGTACTGCTTATATTAAATTATCTATGTGGACTGTACGGGGATTATTTTGAGCGGAGTGGTGCAAAGCTCTGATCATTGATGCGCTCCAGAAAGATGCGTCCTGAGCAAGGCCGCAGTATCATTATCAAAGTGTCGCCACCTCAAAAACAAATTCAACACGCGATCGTTGATGTCAGCTCATATCCTTTCATGCTTTCTGTCTTTTATTTGTGTCTGATGCGTTTTGCTGCTGCGGAGCGAGTGCATCACCTGTTTCATCCTCTGGTGACTTCACCGCAGCGGTGTGGCCGGTGCGCAGCATGCACTCCGCTATTTTTGCGGTTAGTAGATCTTTTAGAACTGCAGTTCAAAGGTAACTCATGAGGTGAATATATAGGAAATGCAGAAAGATAATAAACCGACAGGACAGAAAAATAGTCAAATAATGTTTTTGTACCTGGTAGCAACAAACAGACACCATTTAAGGTAATCAGAAGTGAGGAACAGACAATTAAATGATTCTTTCAATGTTTAGATCAGCAGGAACTCTGAGAGGCTGCAGGAGCATCAGCAGTGGTGGGCAGTCAGGGCCAGCAAAGCCTTCTCTGCTGGCCTAAACGTACTCAAAAACGTAAATGTCTTTTTTTTTCCTTTGGTAAATATTTTTAAATCTAAAAAAATGTTCACTGGTCTATTTTCTTTATATCCTATTATACCCACTTGGCTGCGCTGCTTCCAGTGTTGAAATACCAAGGCTGGGTGTTATCCAATCAGATTTAAGCTAGCTTGTGTTTTCAGGCAGATTAACGTCTGCTCTAGGCCTTCAGAATCAATCGAGAAGCCCACTGTCCGCTGTAAGTGAACAGAGACGAGCCAGTTGCGATAGCCAATCAGCTCACGAGTCAGCGTGGCCCAGGCCAGCTAGCTGGCCTCACGCAAAAGTTGACATGAACGCATCCTGTGATTGGATGAGCAGTAGTTAGAACTTTTCTAGCGGCATGAAGCAAAATATCAAAACTAAACACAGAGATTTGTACCTATAGGCAGCTATCGGTGTATTTTTGAACACATGATGGCTGAAAGAGGAGAAGGGACGGACTTGGTTGCAGATTAACTTGCCACACCATTTTCCAGACGGACCTTTCAAGAAAAAATGGATCTTGTGAGAACAGGTCGTCCGACTCCAATGCTAGCTGGCTTGTCCCAGCAGGAGAAAGGATTTGTTCGTCATTTTCAGGCAAGCAACTATGAACGGTACCCATGGCTAACAGCTTCAGAGAACCGCTGCAGGTTATTCTGCTGGGAATGCCTGTTGCTCGCATCAGATGGATTTGGTAGCATTAAAGCGCGTTAAAATGTACGCCAGAAACACGACCGGACAGACACGGCTTTCAGCCTCCATGTCCATAGAAAAGGATCCACTCATGGACCTGAAGCGCACAGATAAACTGTACAGAGCCATTGAGGTTTTCCTGAGGAAAGAAAGAAGGATGGATTTTATTTTCAAATGAGCAGGAGAGGAGGAGATCCATGCTGGACATTTATGTTGGTGAGTAGAAAGTATTTTTTAATGTTTTGTCATTTCATTGTGTTAATAATAAATGGTAACGAAATAAAATGGCTAAATGAAATAATTCTATGTGTTCTGTTTCTATGCAATTTATATTGTGAATGACGTGGTGTGTGCAGCTGCGCCAACATGTTCAATTGTTTCGCGGTACAATTTTCTCCAAAACAAATGCAAATAATGTGTTTGCTTTACTTATTTATTTTATTGTCTCATCTCTTAAACCCGTCTTTCATTTTTGAGATTTGACAGTATCCGTGTTCTTAGTTTCCTACTCTCAATTGGGAATGCAAGTTTGATTTTAAAGGCTCCGGAAATGACGTCTTGCCCAGCCACTGGTGTGTGTGTGTGTGTGTGTGTGTGTGTGTGTGTGTGTGTGTGTGTGTGTGTGTGTGTGTGTGTGTGTGTGTGTGTGTGAGGTTTCTCCAGCTGTGATGTCCTATTGATGGTATTTTAAGGTGTGTTAATTTAGATTGGACTGAATAGGAAATCACTGAAGGCCCAGGGGTGGAATGCACCGCCCGCCACTGAGCATCAGTGGGTTTGCGGCTGCTGCGCAGGGGGAGGGGGGAGAGGGCTGAAGCAGGCAGTAAAGATGCAAAAACTGCCATTGTTAAAAGAAATGTGTGTTAACTTAGAAAATGTGGGCACAATTTTAATTACTTGTTAACTTTTTTCTCCAACGTTAAGACTGCTGCACAAAAAAAAAAAATAATAATAAAGACTGCTGCTCGTGTGGGGCCCCTTGTGGCTGTGGGCCCCTGGGCCTGTGCCCAGTTTGCCCATATTATAATATGGCCTTGCTTGTGTGGTCGAAACACACATAATTAGTTTTCATTTAAATCGCAACAACAGATGTGCGATCCAGGCCATAAAGCCTAATTTATACTTCTCCCGTCTGCGTCGGGACGAACGCACGCAATGCCATTATCCGTCCTTTCGAGGGCTCTCTGACAGGCTCGCAAGGACAAACGGAGTCGAGCTCTCTTTCCTAAACATCCATCCGTCGAGACAGAGAAGGCAAGCTTGTGATTGGTCAGGATGCTGCTGTCGTCTACAATGCCGCCATTGCGCCCTCTAAAAAATAAAGAGAGTCGAGGACATCTAGCGGCAGACACAGAGAAACTTGAAGAATACCTCGTGGAAAAACTGTTTTATTCTGAAACAGCACTGATTTGTGAAAGCACAGACAAGTAGACGCTGCAAGTTATCACACTCAACTAAAATGAATTGGAATTAATGGAGCCAGAATAACAGTCTCCACAGCTCCGTAACAAACCGTACCTCCGACCACATTATCCTTGACCACAGTGGACTAGTTAGTAGTCATGTAGACATAGTCTGTGATTTGGAAATCATTTGATTTTTGAAAGTTCATCCTCCATTTTTTGAGGTTTGGTTATAATTAATTATTTACATCTAAAGATTTTAATGGCTTTTCAGAATTAAAAAAAACTGTTCTGATACTAATAACTTGCTTTTTGCTTGCTTGTAGTAACAAAGTGACCTATAGATGACACCAAAACTCCATACAGAATAGACTTTATTGATCACACAGTGGGGACATTCACTCGTTACGGCAGCACATACACTTAGAGAATAGAAAACAATAATACAGCTAAACACACAAAGGCAGGGGGCTGTATTATTGTAACCTTCAGCAATTAAAATGATGAATAAAAATAGAAAATTGAGTTTCCAAGAAGAAAACAGCATAAAGGACTCAGAATGTGCATCCGGGTATTGCACACGTACTGAATAAGTGAGCGTGTAGAGGGATAATGCCAGTACTAGTTAAACTGTGGAGTTATACTCTAACAGCTGCAGGAGTGAATGATCTGCGGAGGTCAGCTGGCAAAAGCTCACAATGATCAAATACATTTTTTCTGTTGTGTTAATTTGTTTGTTTTTGCAAACAAGCATAAAACAATGCATCTGAGATACGTTTAACCTAAAACACACCCACCAAGAGAAAAAGTAGCACATTTTTAAATTATAGCACATTTTAGATACAAAGTTAGGAATAATCTGGCCTCATTGAGAAAGTAGCCAAAGCTAGGGCTTACCATGTACAATCTTAAAATGACATTAATGCCATTTTACTCCCCTAGGTTGATTGCAGATATGCATTTTTTGTAATTCAAAATAACTAATATTTACTTTAATGGGCAACGGTTGCTCTTATTTTCTGCAGGAACAATTTAGTTGGTGCTGTTTCCAGATTCACTGCAGCCGTTTCAATGACGTTCTTCTTAATCTGCACCAGATAATTTGCAATTTTGTGCACAGCAAAGCAGTAAAGATAAGAGACAGAAAAACCCACATTTGACCCACTTGTGCAGACTTGTTCATAAACATAGCTAGAAGTCAGATTTGTTCTGCCCTGTGGGGTTGGGTTTTAAGAGTAATGCCATTTAAATGTGCTTTAAATTCAGCAAAAGGTCCAGATTTTCGGCGTTTTCACTGCCATTGACCTACAGTTTAACATTAACCAGCTGGTTCAGCTTTAAAGCCACTTGTGGTTTCTCTGATGCATGTGGTTTTACAAGTCAATGACACTTCAACCAAAATATACAGTAAAGCCGGTGCAAGCAGTTCCCAGTTATTTTTAATTTACCACTTGAAGCTCTCACAGATAAAAATATTACCTACAAGAGTTTTAATACATAATGCACAATTACCTTCAGCTTTTCTGAAATGAGCCCCAATAAAAAGTTAGTCGTTCAATTTTCTATTTATTTTTTGATCTGCAAAGAAGCAGAGCGCTCTCTACTGGAAGCAGCAGTAACATCTGACCCGGCTACAGCTCATCTGTCTTGTAGGAATAATTTATTTGATCAAGAAAACAGGAAGTGAATAATTTAAGACATTTGTGATTTGCACAGAAATGAGCAAAATCATACAATCATTAACAGTACAAACAAGTAAATATGACAATAATTTCCACTGTAGTTCACTCTGTGTCAAGGTATTTCATCCTCCATGACATAATTCTGCCACCATAAACTTCTGGCTTGTTTAGATTGGTTTATCAATGACCAGGACTCCGAGGTTGTTGTTAAAAACAACTCTGTCCTCGGACCGGGAGCTGCAGTCCGGGTGCCGCAGCAGCTCCAACACACCGGCTTTCAGCTCCGGTGAGGCGGTTTTACTAAAGTCCAGCACCTCGGTGAGGAAATCAAGGAGCAGCTCTCCCTTCTCATCTCCCTCAGTGAAACACTCGGTGATATCCATGTGAGAGGGCAGGACAAAGCTCTGGTAGCTCACTCCCTTGGAGTCCAGGAAGCGCTTGATGTCTCCTGTGGTTACACACTGGCTTATTTCTGTGTTGCACAGCTGGTTCCTGTATTTCCGCCACAGTGTCCCAAATCCGCTCTTCTCTAGGAACAGACACCATGAAAACAAGGCAGCAGATAGTTTATAATAGGGCAAGCATGCAACTGCAATAAATTCTGCCCCAAAATATTAAGAGCTTCAGTGAATTTGAGTAACGGGACTCCGTATTCAGCAAAAAAACAAGACCATTTCTTAATTTGCAATTACATCAATCAACTCACCAGACACTAGAATTATAATAAGTTTCCCATTCTTATCGAGAAGACTCTGGAAGAAGCTGATGGTGGCGCCGGGATCCTTCACATAGTACAGCATCTGTCGATTTCACCACACGTAATGAGCTAGCTGCATTCAACGAGCACCTAATTATATTTCTTTGCTAGACAGATGCTCTAATGGGATTAATTGCCGTCCAGTGCCACCTAATGAATGTGACCTAGATGTGTCAGAAGTACAGTGGGGAGCTGGAGAGACGTCAGCACCAACCTGGATCATGTGAATGAAGTCTGCCTTCTTTGTCATCTTCTTCTGTTTCCAGTTCTCCTCAAACTCTGAGGCTGTCATCTTGTTCCAGGTGAACTTTATGTAGTTTAATTCTGGTTTCTGAGACACTAAAACTTAAGACAAAAACACACCTAATAGGTTAATGTTGGTGATTTCTGCACAAAAACGATACAAAGTTCTGAATATTGCTTTGGCCACCATCTCTAAAGCACATTCTGTGGTTCTGCAAAAGCAAAACTTTTCTTTTTTAACCCTTTATTTTCCACACCAGGAAATTTGCGATGAAAAAACTAAATATTTAGCATTTTTTAAAGTAATGAAATGCAACTCAAAGTGAAATTATTATTGCCATTACGTTGTAAATTACAAATTAGTAACTTTACATTTAAAAAATCTCCATGGTTGAACAACAGATTACGTGTCGCAAAACAATGTTTTTACTAACAAGACGAGACCACTCTCAACTAAAAACACTGATGTTAATTGCAGTATTTCATTTAATTTACATTATTTGATTCTTGCTGTATTTTGTGTAAAATTGTGGAAATGCCATTAGATGGTTTCGGTTTTAAAGTAAAAATATGAAACTGTAGACAGATAACTGAATAGACTTTTTAAAGCACACTTCTGTAATAATAGAAGTGTTCATACGTTCAGTATGTATGTACATTTTATTTAAAGGGGACATACGGCAACTTTTTCCTCAAGCCAGAATGAGCCAAAAGAGCCGATTAAGAAAAAAAGCAGGCCACGCCCACCCACCCCCACTTTGGCTGCTATAAGCTGAGAAGCTGCGATATCAGTGAGGAGCTTGGAGAAGAGTCGCTCTCTTGCTTGTAAGATCTACTTTCCCAGTTTGTGATGTCACAAACCAGGCATTTTTGAAACAGCACATAAATCCTAAAACTAAACATTGACTGAAACCAAATGGACAGGTTTTTTCACATCTGTATTGTTTATAGAAGCAGTAGAGACACACTCAGTAGCGTAAAAGGATGCAAAAGATGAGTTTTGCGTGTTATGTCCCCCTTACTCCTGAGTTTTTCCTTATATGTGTTGCACCTTAAGCCCCTCTGCCTATTGACATCTGTACATCAGTGGATGCCAACGCTCTTATAAAAATGCACGTGATTCTACGGGATGGGGCACAAGCTTAGCAAATAATATCTCCCAATACAGGGTAAGACATTGACAGATTTTAAAAAGATCATACAGAATTCCTGAAATGGGAAAACTGTGAATTGCTGCTTTAAATAAATAATATCAAAAACATTTGAGCATAAAGTAATTCTGGTATGATCCTGATTCAATCCTGATGTTCCAGCATGAGTCACATCAATGTGAGATTAAGGCCCTGTCCACACGTAGCCGGGGATCTGCCACAATGTAGATATTTTTCTACGTTTTGGCCTGTCATCCACACGAAAACGGATCTTTTTAAAAACTCCGGCCAAAGTGAAGATCTGCGTTTTCTCCGTTTTGGGTGTCTGTGTGTGGACAGACAAAACCGGAGTTTTAAGGTCCGCAACGTCACTTTCCGGGACAAAAAAATGCTGACATCACGTGTGCGACCTGTGTTTACACTAGCCGACAGCATGGATGCCCTCAGAGCTGCGCTCGCTTTATCAATTGTCCAAGCGCTTTTTGCTCGTTTGTTGTTGCAAGCGGAATTACTGCTCCTAGAGGAAGACCACAGACGAAGGACGAGGTTAAGAACGGGGGAAGTACTGCCGCCTACAGGTCTGGCATGTCCTTAACAACGTATTTATCCGGGTACGTGTGGACAGAGTTTCTTTTTAAAACGAGGTGGTGTGGATGCAAGTTTTTGGAGGGGTGGATATTCGTTTTTAAAAAAAACCCGGCTACGTGTGGACTAGGCCTCAGTTTAAGAACTTGGCTTGATATTTTAAATCATGTTAACTTAAAGCTGATGCTGATGTCTGTAGTTCTCACCTCAGCTGAAACCTGACTCACTTGTGTTGCATCACACCTCATTAGAAAGAACAGAGGCAAGTTGGCAGGAGCAAATGTCGGAACACGTGGCTTCATTTTATTTATTAACGAGAACTCAAGTGAAAACGACAGCAGTCATGTTAAATTTTATATCTGACATTGTGCCTACAGAAGGACTAGGATGCTGTAAAAATGAGTTTTTCTTTACATGAAAATGTAGAAAATATACAGCCCCCCTCAGTTACATATGTTTACATAGTATATATGCATGCATCTGGTATCCATCTAGTACCTATCCATCCATCTAGTACCCATCTATCCATTTAGTACCATCTATCCATCTAGTACCTATCCACCCTTCCTTCTAAGATCTATCTAGTATCCATTTAGTACCCATCCATCCATCTAGTACCCATCTATCTATCCAGTAAGTAAGTAAGTAAATTTTATTTATATAGCACGTATCACAGATATAGAATCACAAAGTGCTTCACATAGATCATAAAATCATAAACAGATTATCATAAAATCTAAATGCTGTCAAAACAGAAAAAAATAAAGTCATAAAATTGTTAATTTTCATAAACAGATGAAAGATTAAAAATTAGAGTTTAAAATAAGAAAATAAAAGGTTTAGTTCAAAGCAGCTTTAAATAAAAGGGCCTTTAGCTGTTTTTTAAGTGTCCAGACTGTCAATGCTGCGTAAGGATAAAGGAAGATCATTCCAGAGTCGGGGTGCAGCAGTCTGGAAGGAGCGATCACCTCGACTTTTGTATCTGCTCTTTGGAACTTCTAGAAGGTTCTGGTGTGTGGACCTGAGGGCTCGGGTTGGAGCATAAGGCTTTAACAGTTCAGTAACATAGGGAGGAGCTAGACCATGTAGAGTATTGAAAGTTATAATCAGGATTCTAAAATGAACTCTAAAGTTAACGGGTAACCAGTGCAGAGACATCAGAATAGGAGTGATGTGTGCTCTTCTGTTTGCTCCAGTTAGGAGCCTCGCTGCAGAGTGCTGGACCAACTGAAGGTGGTCAAGGGCTTTTTTGTTAAAACATGTGAAAAGTGTGTTACAGTAATCTAGACGGGAGGAGATAAAAGCATGGATAACCATTTCAAGTTCATATTTTGACACCAACCTTCGCAGTTTGGAGATATTTCTTAAATGATAAAAACAGTTTTTGACCAATGTTTTTGAGTGACCTTCAAGAGACATTGATTGGTCAAAAATAACACCCAAATTCCTTAAGTTTGTCTTGACGGCAGGGGATAAATGACCACGTTTTAGACTAATCAGGGGAACCATGCTCTCAGGGGCAATGATCAGACATTCAGTCTTTTCAGAGTTTAACTGAAGGAAGTTATCTTCTAGCCAGCTGGTGATCGCTGATAGACACTCTAGTAATTCAGATGGTTTATGGAACTCAGAATCCTTAAAGGAGCAGTACAGCTGAACATCATCTGCATATAGGTGATAAGAAACATTATGAAAAGAATCAAGTATCTGTCCAAGAGGGTGTATGTACAGCAGAAACAACAGTGGACCCAAAACATAGCCTTGGGGTACCCCACTGAACAGATCAGTAGAATCTGACATGATTTGGTTTATACAGACACTGTAACTTCTGTTAGAAAGGTACGATCTAAACCAGTCTAGAACAGTTCCAGAGATCCCCACCGAGTCACCAAGTCTGTTAATTAAGGTGCTGTGATCAACAGTGTCAAAAGCTGCAGAAAGATCTAATAAAACTAACACTGTGAACTCCCCGTTGTCTGCAGCCATCATGATGTCACTGGAAACTTTAAGCAAAGCTGTTTCTGTTTAATGCTTTTTACGAAAACCAGACTGGATTTTATCAAAACTGTCGTGTAGTTCCAGAAAAGTAATCAGTTGATCTGCCACAACCTTCTCCAATATTTTAGAGATGAAGGGTAATTTAGAAATGGGTCTGTAATTTTTAGGCTGAGATGAGTCCAAACTTGTTTTTTTAAGGATGGGTTCAATAACTGCATGTTTGAAAACAGATGGTACAGAGCCAGATTGTAGGGATAAATGAATCAAATCTACAATGCATGGGCCAATTTGGTCAAACATCCTGATTAACAAGGTAGTAGGAATGAAATCAGCAGGGCATGAGGTTGGTTTCATGTGTTTCTGAATGAGGCAAATGTCCTGGAGATCTACACGAGTAAAGACAGACCGTGATTGAGAGGGAGGGGGTTGGATGGGGGTAGGAAGTAGATGGGGGTGAAAAACTTGCCCTGATGTTTCTGATTTTATTATCAAAGAATGCTAGAAAGTTCTTCCAGTCAGACCTTGAGTAAACTGGCATAAGAGGGGCGTGAGGTGAAACAATCTGGTTTATGGTGTCAAACAGGACTTTAGACTTATTCTTGTTTACAGCAATCAGCTGAGCTAAGTAAGTGGCCCTGGAAGTTTTCACCGTCTCATTCAGAGATATTATCAGTTCTTTAAAGTGCAGCCTGTGACTTTCTAATCTAGTTGACTTCCATCGTCTCTCGGCTCTGCGGCGTGTCCTTCTGAGACTGTAAATATTTGATTAATCCAGAGACTTTGTCTCTTGCTAGAAAAAGTTACCTGCTTAACAGGAGCTACTTTATCTAAGATACTGCAGCTTTGTTTATCCAATAACTGGATAAACAAGCTTGGATCATCACCCTGAACTGAGCTGCTGTCAAATAATCTAGAAAATCCATCCACTGCTGACTGATTAATGATACGTCTCTTTGATTTTTGGTTGTGAGGGACAGATTCAACATTAGACAGGACATTAAAGAAAATGCAGCTGTGGTCACTCACATGAACCTCTTCAACATGTAAATGATTGATTTTTAGTCCCAAAGAGAAAACAAGATCTAGAGTGTGGCTCATTTTGTGTGTGGGTCTGGAAACGTGCTGCTCTAAGTTAAAAGACTCCATAATAGACATGAGCTCCACTGCTGTGCTACAATTAGGATCATTAATGTGTAAGTTCAAATCACCAAGGATTAAAACTTTTTCTAGTTTGATCATTGATGATAGAACTTCTCCAAATTCAGAGAGAAGAAGGCCAGCTGGACCGGGAGGTCGGTGGATTAAAATGCAGTGAAACACATTTTGTAACCCTGCTTTGATGACCTGGCATTCAAAAGTTGTAAAAGGGCCATTTTTCACCAGATTACAGACATGTTTGTCCTTTAAGACCACAGTAAGACCTCCATCACGACGTGTCGGGCGTGGTGTGGTAAACACAGAGCAGTTTGGTGGACATATTTCATTGAAATGTACAAAATAGCCATCTTGCTGCCACGTCTCCGTAAGAGACTTGGGGGGGGGGGGGGGGGGGGGGGTAGAACCCTAGGAAGGCGCTATACAAATACAGGCCATTTACAATAAATTAATTAATGAGAAGTGAAGCCAAAGGCTGTTTTGAAACAGCTTCATTCTTAATATCCCAGTAAAAATGTATAGATCTTTGGCAGAAACAACAATATTCAACCACGATATGGAGGCTAAGCCAGCATTGCAGTTGGTTCTGTTCCACGTAGGAAATAGTACCTTTGTAGTTATGTAGCTGTTGGCTGCTCGGCTCCACCACCTCGTTATCCACCGTCACCTCTGGGTGCCTCTTATGGAGCTCAGAGAGCATCTCAAGGTCAATCTCACCTAAAAGAACCAAAACTACTTTTTATTTCTATCTTGAAGCCTAATTGCTCAACTTGGCTGATCAATACGCTTATGTTAATTCATTTTTAGTACAAAAGGTGCTTCTGAGTGAAGTAGAAAACAAGGAACACCAGACAATGGTATATTTATGATCCAATATTCTCAAAAAATTATAAGTAAACTGAAAATCCAACCAGAAAGTCATTAATATGATAATTTTTTGAGTAACATTTGGCTGCAGGGAGATGATTTTGTTCTCCTTCTTATTGAAGGTGACAAGTTGCCATGCACACAGGTGTACATTTAAGCAGAGAAGCTGATGCAGACATGCGGTGAATCGTTTTGATTAGGTTAAATAATATCTTTCAGGGGAGTTTGTAGTCATTCTAATGGATTTTACAGTCCATTAGAGAATCCATTATGATACAGACATGACAGCTCAGGTAAATTACAAGTATTGGCTCTGGCATAAGTAAAGGGTGACAGCACTCTGGGGGCATGTGCACAGGATATGTGCTTGAATGTGAAACCGTGCAGTAAAGCTGCATAACGGCGAGGTCAAAATAAAGTTAGAGACTGATCCGAGTTTTACATAAGCTAAATGGAAAACGTGAAATTTTCCCTTTTTTCTGCTGCATGAAACCCTTCCAAAAGCATCATTTACAGGTTACTCACCAACCCCAGTCAGGAACGCACTTGTGTACAAGAAACAGTTTGTGTTCTTACCCGCTCCGCTTCCGACCCCGATGACATTTAGATGGGACTTTCCATCTCCAATGCTGAGGGGAGAGCAGAATATGACACACTGTAAATAATAATAATAATAATAAAATAAATCTAAAAGTATTATCAGTAATAAGAATATATGTCCAATATTATTGGCTGACAGATATAAAAATGTAAAATCAGAAATTACCTGCATCAGTTTTTAATCTTTAATGACTACTTTTACATCCCACCCACATATTACACACCAATCTCTGCAGCTACTTCCCCTTTCACTGAAAATGTTCAAATATGGCAGATCTGAGGTTTAGTACAGTATATATGTTTGATTGTTTGTTTGTTTGTTTGGCACAACTGGCTCAACTTCAATAATCATAATTTGCACAGATATTTTTTAAACTTGTACTATGAATTAAAGGAAAAAAATTTATGGGTTGATGGGTGGGTGGGTGGGTGTGTGTGTGTGTGTGTGGGGGGGGGGGGGGGGACTACACATGTATTAGTATCAGAAATTGTTAGATTTTGTCAGATCTCCGTAAAAAAGATATTGAACATTTATAATAATAATAACAATATTGTTATTATTACTAATTATATAATAATAATAATAATAATAATAATAATAATAATAATAATTTGTGCTAAAAAAAGTCTTGGGTGTAAATTTACCTTCAAATTAGCTTTAGTAATGGTAAAATGTCAAAATGTGATGGCACACACTTATATGTGATCTACAATTTCTAATTCTAAAGGGTCTTTTCCTCAGGTTAATGGAAAATCCAACATTTTACCAATCAGGTTCTCCTGTTTTCAGCTAAATCTGTCAGGTGAGATTTCATCAGGTTACTGCTGAAGCTCCAACAGGTGTGGTTACCTGGCCAGGATGTGTGGCAGCTTGTTGTGGATGAAGTCCTTCATACACTGATGCTCTGAGGAGCGCTCCAGGAAGAGCTGGAAGGACTTCTGGTACCTGTCATCATCATGAACCAGACTCATCAGAGGGGAAGCCATGATGGGTTCAAACCTGTCTGGGGAATAAAAAATAAATCTATGGATTTTATTCGGATTCATCTCTTCGTATTCATGGTGCTGATCACATTTCCTGTCAGCTCCCACCGGAACTCCCCTCAGCGGCGCTGCAGCTGAGCGCCTTTGTAGCAATTCCGCGTAAAGATGACAGATGCGTTAAACGGCACCAAGCTTCAACAAAAGCGGAAACACGAACGCCGCAGGCGTGCTGGCTGCGTCGTGTCCCGCAGCTGCTCAGAAATAACGCAACACGCGTTTTTTCTGTTATCGTTTATTTAGCGTTCGCGTGTTGGAGCTGCGCAGCGCCCAGAGGACAACTATAAGGGAAAAGAAAAACGCACGATGGCCACTTACTCGTGTCTCGCAGGATTCCTGTCGGGATCACACGAAGGCTGGGTGAGCCCTCCCACCGGTGTCATGGCTTCCTGGGAGGGTGACAGGTGGCGGACAGAATCCCTCTCAGGAAACAAACGTCTTCCGAGAGGCCCATGAGCAAACTCGTGCTAGTCTGGAAGATTCTGCAGGTTTAGTGAGAAAATGCTGGGAAAAGAACGACCTTCACCACGAATATTACTGTCTTTCTGCTTTTTAATTTGCTGCTATTTAAACAAGATTCGTGTTTAGATTTGGAGATTCGTTAAAAAATAAGTTTTTTTATTGGTCATTCCATTCAAAAAGTGAACATTGTATACAAGATCAATTCATTACACATACTGATGTATTTTTTATTTGATGATTATAACGGACAACTAATAAAATTCCCAAATTCAGTATCTCAGATTATTAGAATATAATAATAATAATAATAATAATAATAATAATAATAATAATAATAAGACCCCTGGTGCCACACTCTAACCAGCTAGTTAACACAAAACACCTGCAAAAGCATTTAAATGGTGTCCCAGTCTGGTTCTGTAGGCTATACAATCATCGGGGAGACTGTTAACTTGACAGTTGTGCAAAGGATGACCATTAACACCTTGCACAAGGAGAGCAAGACAAGAAAGGTCATTGCTAAAGAAGCTGGATGTTCACAGAGCACTGTGTCCAAGCACATTCGAGAGGCGAAGGGAAGGACAAGATGTGGTAGAAAAAGGTTTACAAGCAAAATGGATAACCCCACCCTGGAGAGGATTGTGAAACAAAACCCATTCAGAAATGTGGGGGAGGTTCAATAAGAGTGGACTGCAGCTAGAGTCAGTGCTTCAAGAACCACCATGCACAGACGTGTGCAAGACACGGTTTCAGCTGTCGCATTCCTGGTGTCAAGCCACCCTAGAACGAGAGACAGCGTCTCGCCTGGGCTAAAAACAAAAAGGACTGGACTGCTGCTGAGGGGTCCAAAGTTATGTTCTCTGATGAAAGTAAATTTTGCATTTCCTTTGGAGATCAAGCTCCCAGAGTCTGGAGGAAGACAGAAGAGGAACTGAATCCACATTGCTTGAAGTCCAGTGTAAAGTTTCCACAGTCAGCGATGGTTTGGGATGTCATCAGCTGAGTGTTTGAATCTCGTTCCTAAGCAGTTATACGTCACACGTTCCTGCGTCTAATCAACACAACAACTCCCCCTCAATAGAAGCTAACGACTCATCAGGGGGTAGAGAGGAGGGGTACTCAGAGTAGTTTCTGCTTGTTAGGCAACAATAGACAACTAGACTTATTAGTGTGACTCTCCAACAAAGGTCCTCAGATGAGAAGCGAAACTTCTTCAAGAAACAAAGACATCCAGTTGCCTTCATTTGAACCGTTTTGGATCCATGACCTGGATGACAGAGAACCTTCATCATCTGCTGTCGTTGGTCGATTGTGTTTTCTGATGTCCACGCAGCCATCTACCAGGACGTTTTAGAGCACTTCATGCTTCCTGCTGCTGAACAACTTTATGCAGATTTAATTTTCCAGCAGGACTTGGTGCCCGGGTTAAAAACCATATCCCTGTTCTTGACTGATATTTCCTTCCAAAGTATTAGAAGCTGAAGCTCCCCACCCACGGCCTTGACCCACCTATGCATCTGTTTCCTAATTCTGGGTGAGGTAACCCGTTTTCTATGGTCCTCCTTAAGTTAGATCACTGAATCACTTATAAGTTGCTTTAAAACCAGGATTGATTCATTCGTTTAATGCCATTCATCTTGTTGTCTCATGGCTTCGTCCTTAGGTCTGGCGTTGGGGAGTCTTACATGCACTTTGCTAAAATGATCACCTGTGATTAATTTGCTCGTACCATCAGCTATAACTACCTTGTCTGAATAAAATAAGCCTTCAAAGGTGCTGTACAAGTTCTACTAACGTTATTCTTAACTTCAAGCACTAATCCAGATAAAAACCACTTTCATCCTCGTCAACGTCTGATCACGAGTCTTTACTGAGACTTTCTGAAACAGTATCATCGCCTTCCTCTTCCACACCGATTGATGTTTTGCTATTATTCTCTCCTAAATACTCTCATGAATCAAACGAGTGAGACCACTTTGAAATGCAGGAGAGGTGTGACTGAATTCTAAATCAGTGACTTTGAGCGTTTTAGGAGAAGTACAAACGAAGACAACTGGATGTACGAGATAGTTTTTATCAAGCTGCAGCACTCAGTGCCTCCCCATAGAACCACCGATGGACACAGATGCCTCGCTTTTTAAGCTTTTCTGCCTCCTGTGTCGACAAAAAAGAAAAACGCGCTGCGTCAGTGTTCACGTCAGACTAAACTTCAAAGTCCTCTCATTAATTACATCCGGTTGCACCATCTTATCTCTCTGGTGCCATTGTTCTCTACGTGCAACCTCTCCACTCTCACATGTAGCTAAATGTACTGGACACATCACGCCAAAAGGATGGCGTTGATAAAATTAGGGGAAATAAACAAGGTGAAGAAAATTTGGCACTTTTCTACAAAGAATCATTATTGGAAAGAAGTCCCTGCTGCATTTGATGAAACAGACTTTTAGTCTACGTCTAATTCGGTGCCAGATGTTCTCTAGAAGGCTGTGAGAAGACGTTACTCCCTCTTTATCTCCTTTTCACACACAGATACTCACACACCCATCCACACACTTACTGGGATACACACATAAGGAAAAATCCTTGCCCAACATCTCTGATCAAACTGTTATTATGGTGATGCTTTGATCCAAATGTCTTCACAAAGATGATATGTTTTACCACCTTAGATGTTTTACTGTGAATTTAATAAAAAAGCTTAACAAAACATAACCGAACCGAGGCAAAGGAGGAGGAGTCTGAGCAGTGGCGTGTCCAGATCGGACTCTAGAAGGTGCTTTATGATACCATTTTACTTGTGGGCCCACCACCTGGTTTCTGGTGGTTCGTGGATCCAGCTGCAGACCAGCAAAGGGGCTTTGGTGGCCCCATCTCCAGAATCGAAAACTGGTAACTGGGGAATACCACCAAGGACAGCAGTAGTTCAGGGGGTAGAGCGGGTTGTCCAGTAATCAGAAGGTTGCAGGTTCGTTCCTGGCTCTGACCAGAGAATGCTGCTGTTGTGTCCTTGGGCAAGACACTTAACCCACTTTGCCTGCTGGTGGTGGTCGGAGGGACCGGTGGCGCCTATGCTCAGCAGCCCTGCCTCTGTCAGTGCGCCCCAGGGTGCATCACCATCAGTGTGTGAATGACTGATTGTGCTGTGAAGCGCCTTGGGGGGTTGTAGAATCTTAAGAAGGCGCTATACAAATACAGGACATTTACTATTCACCTGTCTGGTGGGGAAGGACCTGGAGCTTGTGGAGCTTCAAAAGCATGCGAGCCATAATTACTACAATCCTTCTCAGTGGTCTAGTGATAGAGTGTCCGCCCTGAGACCGGAAGATCAGGATTCAAATCCCTGTCGGGTCATACCAAAGACTTTAAAAACAGGACTTAATGCCTCTCTGCTTGGTACTCAGCTTAAACGGTTGGACTGGGGCGTTAAAACACCAAATAGTTCCCGAGTGCAGCCGCAGCTGCAGCTCACTGCTCCCCATGGGGTTGGGTCAAATGCAGAGATGTAACATCACCAGTGTGTGTCGACTAATGTGAAATATCTGGCTTTGCATGGAATGAGTCTGTCTAATATATCAGTTTCACTTTTTAAGTCGAGTTACTGACATAAATGAACTTTTTTCCACCACAGGCTAACTTTTAAAGATTCACCTGTAGATATAGTTAACCTTTAACTCTTTGAGAGTTGCTCTGGGCTTGGGGGCAAAGGGCTCCAAGGCCGTGGTTGGGATTGTGTTCCCCTGCAGACCCTGCCTTGATGTTTACCACAGACGATGTGTCTACGGGTCAGCGAGCCAGTTCCGTCTGCTCTTATGTGTCCAATCACAGTACCTTTTTGGATTCTCTAAGAATGACCCCCACATTTAGACACCGTAGCTCTGCTGATCATCTTCAATACCCATGTGGCCAATGACAGCACCACCTGGAGAGGAATGTTTGGGAGGAACGGGACTTTTGTGCCGGTCACAGTTAAGCGATACAGAACTCCAGGTGTGAACATGAGGATGCAAAAGCCTAGGTTGCAGGTTGATGATTGATTTTGTGGTTGCATCAACCAACCTGGGGCTAAATGCTGTTGACTCTTGGGTCGAATTAAGACCAGAGGTGTCAGCTGAGTTGGAACAGGGAGCAGGAGCTATTTTTCACATTGTAAATGTTATGATCATGAAAGCAGATTATAGTTTTAAAGTATCGTATGCAACAGCTTATAGTATATTGAGCCGATCACTTCACCTGAAAAATCTAAAGATTTCATGTTTTTTTGTAATTAATGTGTAATATGCATGTAATAGTACATATCCAAGCTATTTTCTAGCAAAGTCTTGATCCCCAAACATCAATTATATAATTCAACTCGATGTGAAACTCAGCAGTGAGCCGTAAAAGAAAGACTCCCCGTCCTTGAGCTGCAGCATCTAACAAGCTGACCTCTTAGCTTCAGGATTTTTATGATGTTTCAAAGAGAAATATGACATTTTATGTTAGGAGCAAGAAATCTTTCTTGCCTTTAACACAAAAAGACATCTTTATAGCAACAGAGTCAACAAATAAATGCACAATATGGGTCAATGCTTATCCAAAAAACTCATCATCTTCATGCTCAGAAAAACTACACCTAGCAACACTTCTGTTCACACTGGTGATCATTTAAAGTCCAAGTTCACTTGTCATTTTCAATACATGAGCTGTGGTCTTTAGTATAAGTAACCTTGAGGGTCAACCTCTGTGGGGGAAAAAAAAGCTCTGGTGCTCCTGTTTCAGGAAATGGACGTTAGCTGGAGGTTTTGGAGTCCAACTATCATTTCCTGTTATACCCTTATTTGCAAACATCTCACCTTCGATTTGTCTGAAGGAATTCTGCCATACTGCGGAGTTGCTAATGCTAAAGGTTAGCTTCTGCTAGCCGGGGCGTTCTTTGCGGTTTCCTGGGAGCTAAACCAACAACAGCCTTCCTCGCCGTGAGCCAAGCTGGGGGAGTCCATGAATGTTAAACAGTGTGACATAGATCTGTCGGACTTTTTCTAACCTGAGCATTTCCCTAGTTGTTCTCTTTTGGCGGCCAGTGCAGGAAACAGGGGTAGACGATTATTTTCACGTTCAGTCTGCATATGAAATTCAGCTATTTCAAAAATAAGGAGGAAAAAAAACGTCATTCAGTTCTGTTTATTTTTTAATTGGTAAATTTACTGTTCCAAACTTTAACTAAATCTGCTTTTTAAACCCCAACTTTAAAGGTTGGTTTTGTGAGCTATTCACATAGCTTCACTCAAACTGCACACTTCTGCAAAATTACAAAAACTAAGAATGTTCAAGCTGGAGTGCTACAGATTAGTATGTTTCAAGTGAAAAAAATAAGCAATCATTTATTTAAAAAGGTCATAAGCTGATCCTGATACAGATAAATTGCACTTTACCCTTGCTCAAACTTCCACAAACCACATTGTATTAGAAGGATCCAGCTTCTTTATAACGACAAATTAAATAAATTAAATTTAAACTCTTGTACTGTCACTCTGCTCATGAATCTTCACTAAAACCTGCAAATTTGCCTCGAAAGACGCTCAAACGAGACAAATTGGACATGACAAGATCAGCCCACATCTTTGCCACGGATCAGATGGCCGTGACACAAGCATTTTAATTCAGCCTCGGCTTAAACAAAAGTGACAGTATTAAATAAATGAATTAGACGAGACAGAGATTTAAACTCCGTTTCCCTCGCAGCCTGCGATTATCCTGGGACTATCGGACTGGAAATCTGACTGGAGGGCAAGATGAATCTTATCAGCTTATCTGTTCTGGGCTCTGCCTGGGAGGCGGCTGTAATTACAACATATCAGGATTTGAAAGTCAAGGAGCCGGGAATGGTTTTGAGCATCGCTCACACACAGTTCTCACTTTGAACCCTAAAATCGAAGTAAAACCTAGAAAAAATAAACACCGTTTCATTTCCACATGGTTTCACTATTTATTTGCATTTTGTCCAGTTCTCCATGTACACACAATAGTAACACAAATAGCATGTAAACAGTGGGTGAACATTTTAGATTAGATTTCTGGGAAATAACCCAACGGAGTTTGTCTCCTACAGCTGATGCCGGCTGCTTTTGTGTTATAATGTAAATCTGATTAGATAACACACGTTATCTAGATCTCGCAGGTCCTTTCCACTGTTTTTGATCCAACATTTACCATGTGTGCTTTTTTGTTGTTGGCCAACCCTAGAAACACCACCTAGAAGAGACTACTCTAAAATGTTTGGCAACTTATGAAACAGAGTCTTTGCAAGGCCACTTGGAGCACTCTCTGCCAAGATAAATCAAGCATGCCTACGTACAGACAGACAGTTGCTGAAATAGAGTTGTTGCAACATGCAACAACCATATTTGCACAACCATAAAGAGTTTAAAGTTACTGATTAAGTACATTCAGAATGAGGTCAGGCAACAGGAGACCTTTTAGCATCACCAGTTTGTGTGGAGGCAGAAGGAGATAACGCTTACAGACCTGGCAAGCACCACAATCACCAAAAACTGGAAAAAGAAGTTTTCTGGTGAGGTTTCATTTAAAATAAGCAAAGGATGCACGTTTGTAGGGAGAGAGAGAGAGAGAGAGAGAGAGAGAGAGAGAGAGAGAGAAACAACAGAAAGATTTAGATAATAAATAAATAAATAAATAAATAGTACGGTGATGTAGAGCTGTCACTCATGCAAAATAAAATTAGAGCTATTTCTCGTTACAGTCTGCAATATAATTTTCACATTTGAACGATAAAGTCACGTTCTAACATACAAATGTATGGCATTTGTACGATATTATATAAACACATGTTGCCATACAATTTTTATATTTATTTATTTAAATATTTGTTTTGATGATATTTCTTTATGGCCTTTGTGGCATCTATGGCACATTTCTTTTACATTGTACAAACGCCATACACATGTCTGCTGTCAGAACGTGAGATTATATAGTCCCGATGTGAGATTATATAGTCCCGATGTGAGATTATATAGTCCCGATGTGAGATTATATAGTCCCGATGTGAGATTATATAGTCCCGATGTGAGATTATATAGTCCCGATGTGAGATTATATAGTCCCGATGTGAGATTATATAGTCCCGATGTGAGATTATATAGTCCCGATGTGAGATTATATAGTCCCGATGTGAGACTCTATCCTATTATATCCTCATAATGTGATATCGTTCTAATTTTATCTTTGCACGGGTGGCAGCTCTATGCTGGCGTAAAAAGACCCGGGATTGAAAACTGCTACGAGGAAATTTGGTAGTTTCAACATTTCATGTTGCAAATTCAACGTTTGCAGGCAAAGCAAGGACATTTATAACAAAATAAAAATAAAATAAATCTAAAACATTTATTTCGCTAAGCAACCAAGTGGATGAAGTCGGTGATCAGTGCCGTTAGGATTTGCATCTTGTGAAAAAAGTGAACATGAGGTATGACCTTTACGCTGCTGGTTTGCATTAATAGCTTCATTTCTTTTTATGAACAGAACTGTTTCAGTGACGGGTTACATTTTGAGATCAGTGTCTAATTTTCTCATCTGGCCACGTTTCTTACGAGGAAAGAGAAATAACAGCATCATTGCATCCTTAAACTCAACAACAGGCTTGCTTTTGGTTTCCACGTAAACACAAACGTATTGCATCATCAACAACACACAACTGGACAGCAAAAGCTTGCATTACAGTTAAAACACTAGAAAAGTCATCTGAAAGAAACAAGTCAACTGAATCAGCACTAACGTAGTGCATAAGCCATCTTGTTTATTATTTAAATAAACGACGGGCTGCTGAGTTACCCAAAGGGCTCGTGACTCTTCCTTTTACAGCGATCCGGAGCTAATGAGGAAAACTCAAGGGGCCTTTGAAGATTCCAGGTAGACTCTGGATCTTCTGCCTTTCTTCAAGACATTAAGAGCCCCCAATGAATAAATAAACACAAAGAAATCCTTATAGATTTGTTTGTTGTTCCAGTCTTTGTTTTGTCATTTGCAAGCGATGCTTCAACTGTGTTCGTGTCGCAAGCAGTTATTAAAAATAAAAATAAAAACTTGAGGTCCATGTCTCACTCTCCCCTTGGATTGGCTTTGGTTCTGCTTCTTCGAGCTGGCAGTAGCCAAAAAATATGAGCTACATCACTCATCAGCAGCAAACACCCCCGAGTGATCATCGTCAGTTGGCTCTCGGCTCAGCCGTCCCGCCCATGAGCCGCCTTCAACAGGTCGGGACGTGCTAGCAATCAGAGCACGGCCAGAAGTTTGTCCAAAGCCAGGCGTGTCTACGTGAGGTATGGCAGCTCGGTCACATATCCATGTCACCATCATAGGCAAGAGTCAAAGGCTTCTGAGGTGGAGACGCCTTCGTGGTCTTGTACGGATTACTGAACAAAAGACACAGAGCAAGGACTCGTTAGGGAAAGCATTTGGCTCCGTTCCAGTCTATAAAAAGAATTTCATTAACTGCAGCACACAAAAGTTTGGAACATCTAGAGGAGCACGACTCAGACTCGACGGCTTAGTTTGAGGGAAGACACTTGCCTCACCTTCAGATGTTTCTTCCGTCCCTTTATAAAGTGAGTGTGACCCACAACAATGCTTCTGCCTCTAAAACAAACTCGGTGAAGACTCTCCCGAGAGAGAGAGAGGCGCGGTACTTACCAGACTAGGAACGACAGCGCAATAACGAAGAGTATTACGATGAATCCAACCACCGTCACAGCGTAAACCCACAGCTTTACTCTCCCATCTGCACAATCAGAAGGAAGTCTTAAAACCACTCGCCTGGAAGTTTTCCTCCTTTTAGAATCAAAGAGATGTTTAAATCTCTTTTCAAGCATCCCCTAGAGGAGTCACTCAAATTTCTTGACAGTTTTATTGTTCTTTTGATAGTTTTCTCCCACCAATGTGATTAGTCTGTAAAAACATTGACCTAGAATAAACTCTTCCCTTTGTTCCATTGATCCTAGAGCTACGAGGGCTGTTTTCAAAGGCAGGAAGATTCTCAGGCGGGAAGCTCGATCTGTACAGATGATTTCCATTTCAGCGTACCTGGGCTAACAGGTCGTAAGGTCCACTCACTGAAGAGGTCGTTGGCTTGAGATGGTCTGGGTTTTAATCTTCCGGAGTTAGTTTTCACATCGGCTTTCTTGCTGTTGTCCACCCCCGGAGTTCTAGTGCAGTAGTCCAGAAAACCATGCGAGGTCATCACTTCAGTGTAGCCCTTCTCACAGCCACACACTCCGCTCTGAATCAAAAGGGAGGAAGGCCAGGAGAGAATCATTTACTCCAAACAGGACATGACTAGTGTTGGCATGCACTGAAGCCTGCAAGTGCAGCTACTCGATGGTCCTCTAAGGGGCAGTATAATGTCAACTTATGGCTCTAATATCTCATTGTCATGCTGTTTCTGTGCACAAGCCCTGAAATGGCCACACAGCTGTACTTCCTAACTAATGCCGAGTCCACCTTCATTGGTATTAATCTGATTAGCTTTTAATGGCCTGTTGTAGGATATCTAAAATGTCATCCGTCAAATTCTGTGCAGATCCCGCCTGGAATGTGGGCAGAAAAAAGAAAAACAGGAATCACAGCTCCCTGATGAAAGCAGAGTCGCCTTACCGGTGTGCAGTGCGAGAACGGTTTTGTGCACGGAGGGTGGCAGTGTCGAAGTGTCGTTGGCCGTTTCTGCGGGAAACACCCCCCTGAAGAAAGACAACACCTTATCATTTCTGGTCCTTCTCGCATTGATCAGTACATTAACGCCCCTGTCACACCTGATTAATGGGCCCGTGGGCCTATCGGACGCCCTGATCAATTGGTGAACATTTTAATTCCAACATGGAAAATTGCATGTCAAAATTTCTAAGAGTAATGCTTTGGGCTTCTCTGCAGCAGGAGGGTTTGTCTTTTTTTTTTCTCTTTGCCAAAAATACTTTCCTACAGTGATAAGATCACATTCGCCCACTATTTACAGCTCATCGAGCCTGCCTAACGCTTTTATTCCCACAGCCCCTCTACCGTCGTCCTGCTTCTCTGTGCCTGTTTTGCTTCCAACAAATACGTGATCATAGTTATACGGATTGAAAGCGTCCCAGCTCAGTCTGGAGTATTGATTACTCACGTTAAGATGGAGAAAATAAATCAGTAGAGGCTGCTCTATAAATACACAGATCCCAAAAAGTAGAACGGTGCACTACAAACCATTCGGTTGATGCTGCAGGATCCACAGTGATTTTTTACAGCTATATCTCAACGAGATCCTATCTGCTGAAGTGCAGCTCACTGGCAGAATAATAGCACTGCAAACTCGAAGGATGGTACTTTTTTCATTCACTCCTTCCTGTCAGATCTTTCCAAATGTTGCATTTCCTATTATTTCCCGATTCAATAAGGAAATCTCTTTGAAATGTAATTCTAACCCACCTGCTACAACCACTTGCTCTAAAGCTTCCAGTTTGACAGTTTTCAGAGATAAATGAAAGGAGGTTCACTTAACATCATAGTTGCATGAAGGTATTTCTTTCTGAGGCATCGAATTAAACAATATTGCAGAGAGTCTCCGTGTTATCCTGAGATAAATGAAAAATGATGGAGCTGACTCATTCCATGGAAGCAAAAGCTGCGTCGGACGTTTGTAGGAATCTTTACGCACGTTCCTGGAAGACCTTCTGTGTAATCCGTCCATAAAGTGGCCAGAGGGCTTGCGGCTGCTCACCTGTAACATTAACTCCGTCTGAGCGCTGACACCACACTGCCCTCTCATTGTTGTTCCATCCTCCGGTTTTCCACTGGTAAGAGTGGCATTTTCCTCCTGTGATAACAGCAGAAGGGCAGATACGGCGCTCATTAGCCATCAGTATTGGCCTGTCCGTCAGGATCCTATAGAGGGTAACCTCCATTTTTTTTCATATTATAATGTAAGACAGACTAGAGTTGCATTGACTGGAAAAGGGAAAACTGTCTGAAAAGGAGCAAAGTACTAAAAGACTAAAGGAACTTCAGATATAAGAGGGAAAATTCAGTGAAAGTGTATGAAATAGACCCATTTTTTGTAATCATAGATTCCCCAGAGCATAAATATACAGAAAGCTTCATTTAAGGAGAACAGGCAGAAAAATCTCAGGACAGAAAAGCTTTAAAAATCCATAATATTTGAAGGAAAGCTGGTATAATGTTCCTGACTAAGTGGAGCATTCTTTCATGCAACTAAGAGCATTTATGTACAGATGTGGACAAAATTGTTGGTACCATTCGGTCAATGAAAGAAAACCCCACAATGGTCACAGAAATAACTTGAGTGTGACAAAAGTAATGATAAATACAAATTCTATGAAATGTGACCAGTGAAAGTCAGACGTTGCTTTACAGCCACGCTTCAACAGAAGAAGAATACAAAAACTCATGGAACAGACTAACATGACAACACCTCTAACTTAATGTTGTGTTACAATCACTGCAATCAAACGATTCCTGTAACTGTTAATGAGATTTCAGCACCTCTCAGCAGGTATTTTGGCCCATTCCTCATGACCAAACTGCTCCAGCTGTCTCAGGTTTGAAGGGTGCCTTTTCTAGACGGCATGTTTCAGCTCCTTCCTAAGATGCTCAGTGGGATTGAGGTCATTTTAACTGGTTACATTTCATATATTTTAAATGTATTACTACTTTTGTCAAGTTCAAGTTACTTCTGTTTTTCTTTCATTGACCGAAGGGTACCAACAATTCTGTCCACGTCTGCAAATACTTCCTATATTTCCTGCATGAAGACAGAGTGACTCCACTGACACAACCCTCTGCACAACTCAGCGTCACCCGATTCATTATTGTGCACACAAGGGAATGCAAGTTGGCTGCAACATTAAATCATTTATTTAGCAAAATGGAATGTTTTTCTTGCCACTCATTAAATTATAATTTATGTTATTATTTTTGGTAATTTATCCAAAAGATATAATATTGTGTTCACAACTGTGCTTCATTTTTGCGTGGATATAACGGTGTGCCACCCCCTAGGGCAGTGGTTCCCAACCTTTTTCCCAAGGAACCCCGTTTTTTACCAGTAAAATTTTTGACGACCCCCTCCCATTCTCTCTTCCAGTACAAACATTATTAAGATATGATAAAATTGTTCAAGCACATTTTAATATGCTTTGATTCAATAGATAACAGTAATAGTAGGCTCCAGTACAGAACAAAGTCATTAACAAAACCAAACAGAGCATAGTGTGCTTGACAGTTTGTATTACTTTTCTGAACACATTGTTTCTTGTAAACACTGATAAATCAATCATTCCTTTCAATAAATCTTTGACACATAAAAAATACACTGAGCAAAATGTACTTAAATGTGTATATTACTGTTTATACTAGATTATTTACTGTAAACGCTGTGATTAATCAACCAGTCCTATCTTTAATGAACTTTTGACACTTGAAAATAAAACAGTGAGCTGAGCAAAATGTTCTTAAGTGTGTTACTCTTTCTGTACTAATTATTTCCTGTCTTAATATCAGTAAACTTTTCACTCATGAGAAAAAATGTGAGCAAAATGTAGGCTATAAACAAGTAATAAATGAAGTTTTAACCCCTTAAAGTGGAGAGGTCCTGGCGACCCACTGAGAGGTTTTGGCGCCCCCTTGTGGGGGTCGGGACCCCCAGGTAAGGAACCACTGCCCTAGGGTAAATATAGTCACAAGTCCAACTCCAAAACTGTAAAAAAAGAAATATGGTACAAGTTTGGATTAAAGCTAAAAATAAACGTGCTTCCACCTCTTCTGCAGAAAACTACGGGTCACAGTGCTGCTCAGTGTCAACAACCTTAAATACATAAAGCTTTTGCGTCCTTGAGTGCATTACTCCCCCTTAAAGCAGAAATCCAGAGCATGGTTCTTGTCCCGTACTGTGATCTAATGTAGGCGATATGTTACATTTGTTTTTAACAAGCCCGCCCCCGTCCCGCGGAGCCCCATGCTATTTGACTTCACTGCTGTTCAGCATTAGCCAAAAGCAACAGACGACCACTCACGGACAGATGTCCAGCCCAGAGCATGTGGAGACAAGAGTGGTGTTTGAGCTGTTGACAAAGACGCGGTGAATCCACAATTCACACCAATTCCACGACCGCCTGCTTCTACTCGAAGAGACAAAAGTATAGAAATACCCGCAGACTAAACTTTCTGAAACGTTCCTCAAAGAGCAGGACAAACATTTACAGTGGACCTGCTTTTCAGTGGTGGAAGGATCTCCGTGTTCAGCTCGGATGTGGAACAGAGGCAGAGCCAGTTTTTATGAACAAGAAAACCCTAAAAAATAATAAACAGCATAACGCGAGAATAAGAACATGTGAAACAGCATTTTAGCTCTGTTGTCCCGCTAGAGGTGGATGTTTACATCGGTATTGCGGAGCCTAAAGGTGATATACCCTTTTCCATCACTAGATGGTGCCCTTTTAGAAAAGACTCTGGATGTTCTGCTTTATGCACAATGATACGGGGAGTGAGGACAGAAGAGGCTTCTGGAAGGCCCAGGCAGTACACTTAGGCTTAGCCTTTCATCAGCTTGGATGACGCATAAAAGCCACTGCCACTAGAACACTGACAAGCCCAGAGACTAATTTGATGATTCTGACTCTTTCATCGTTACATCTCTTCCTAGCATTCCTCAGAGTTTCTCACATCTACGATAATGAAAAGCACCTAGCTACGCCTGTGACAACCAAAGCCCTCTGACATGCGGCTGGTTTGTTAAAAACTCTGCAACTGGAATGAAAGAACTGCATTTAAAGAAAGATCAGTTTACCAAAAACGTTTGAAGCATTATCGTTTAGTCTTTTCTTCCTAACAGATGATTAAAACATCCTTCAAATCCCAACCAGTCTTCAAATATTTTAATGTGCAAACACAACTCATCTCATGGCTGTCCAAGGCAACAGCGGTCTGATACACGCCGGTAAACGCTGGAATGCAGTTTCAAGGACAACAGGATGAAATAATCATTTCTTTTTGCTTGCAGGCCTCATGAGTGTTTCTGGAGTTTACTGAACATTTTTCAACTTTTATGATCCATCTAGAGGCTAGGGTCCTGTTCCCGACTACTGATCCATGCTCTCATACAATCATTGAGCAGAAAATGGGAAAGTTAAGAGATGATTTTAAATAGGGCTGAGTCTTTTGACAGATGTTTGTTCAATACCTTCACAAGGCTGCGTCTCAAAGACCTGATGTGGGCAGCTGCCCTGGTTCTCCGTAGCCTGAATGATCACAGCTTGCGAGCGAGCTTGGCGACCGGTAGACTCGAAACTCCTCCCCTCCAGGCAGGTCAGCTGGCAGGAGCTCCAAGACGACCACTCAGTCAGATGACAGTCTCCTGGGGCAAAAACGTTTGATGTTGTGACGCTTGGTCAATTTTACAAAGTGTCCGAGCTTGGTTTGCTTCCTGGAACGCCTTATAAAGGTCAAAAACAAGTTCTGCACACATCTGATCAGGTAAAATAAATGCAAAATCACATCACATCACAAGATGGTGCAACTTTAGGAGATAAGGCTGGTCTCCCAGGAGATGAAACATCGCTTAGCAAAACTAGAGGATGTTGTGGGTGTGTTTTTTTTAACTGTTTTCAAACTGGTTTCAGTGGTTCTTGAGCCAGAAACTTGAGTCATTTCACATGGGCCAGCACTCTGTAGCCCTCTGCTGACCACTACGCCAAACCGTTTTGTGGTTAAGGTGGAAACACTAGTGGGAGGTCTCTACAGCTTTGCAACAGCTGATTAAGAGGAAGAATTTAGCTTTTTTGTTGGCATCATGGCGGAGCCTAGAGGTAAAAGTAAGAGTATTGCCTTCGGAGGTGGAGCAAGAGCGAACACCAGAGTGAACATCGGCGTGGTCCACACTAGCTTGAGGGGGGCTATGAAGTCACAGAGAGATGGTGACCTGGCTTTGTTGCTACTGGACCTGTTAATAATTTTTGTCCACCAGTGTGGATCGTTTTACATTGCGGCTTATTTTTGTTTCTGTTGACGCATGCTAGCGATAGCTCGCTGTTAGCGCTAGCTACAGCAGCCTGCGGGCAGGGTTGTTGACAACAATTGTACCAGTAGGGCAGAGAAGCGCAAAACCTATTAGGTGTTGCTTCAACAAATGAGACAGAAAACTTACTTTCTTGTGTGTCAAACACAAATGTCCTTTGTAATGCTTGATTGGGTTACCGTGTCTCTAAAAATCACCCAAAGCCACCTCCGATTCTCGGCCTTGAACATCCATTTGACTGAGCCCTCTCGTTATCTTTAATCTTTATATGAATACACTATCAGCTCTTCCCTTTGTCTGCTTTGTTTGTGGAGACAAGGTGTAGCAAGAGCTGCATTAAACAGCATAAAGCCACATGTGCACGTATGCCGACGACGCCTCCAATGGCCCCTACACAGCACCTGCCACCCTCACACTGACACACACGTCTGCTCTTGGCATCAAACGCTTCCGATGCTGAGCCAAGACTCGCTGCATTGGCGGATTGAGTGATGAATCAAGCTGAGAATCAGAGGAGCACCAGATGAGCAGAGGCAAACACTTGCTCTTCTTAGCAAACGCTCACAAAAGGCAATAGCCATGAGCAGGGAGAGCAGATTAGTCTTTTAATCAGATGGTAATAATTACATCCTTTAAAAAAAAAAAAAAAAGGAATGACAATCATTCAGAGCTGCTGAAACCTGTGCAGCTGCTGTGTTTTTATGCAGAGCAAAGCTTCATTTTCATGACTGACAGAAAAGCGGAGAAGCTGCCAGAAGCTCCAGCACTCTGGGAAAATCCAACATTTATTTTGTAGACTGAAGAGTGAGTAAAATGATCAACTAATGTATCCGTTCACATATGCCATCCACTTGTTTCTATGGTGATCCATGTAATAATACATCTGATTATTAAACTTGGTCACAGTGTGAAATAAGCTGATAACAGTTTGTATTCCTGGTGGCTCAGCCAAGAGCAGCAAAAATACAACGTGCCAACTTTCTAATATTAAAACACTGCAGGCAGTGAAAAACTAGTCTAAATATTTACATTTTATCACTGGTTTGTTTAACCACAGTAAACTTTATCTGGTAAGATCCAACATTTATTTAATAATGTGCCATTTTAGATAAATTAAGACTTTTATTTAAAGGGCAAACTGAAGCTTTTGGGCTTCTCTGAAGATTTTTCACCTAAAGGGGACTTTTCTACTGTCTATAAACACTTCAGATGTGAAATAAATAAATAAAAAAACATTCATCAGTGTTTATTGTCAGTGTTTGGTTTAGTAATTATGTGCCTAAAATAAGCCATTTCAATAAGTCCCTTTTGTGACATCACAAACAGGGAAATTACCATAGAACCACCTCTCCTGTGTAAGAGAGCTGCAGCTTTAGTAGCAGCGGCTTTACTCAGAGCCCCCCCCCCAGTTATCAGAGCATCTCAGCTTATAGCAGCCTAAGTGAGGGATGAGTGGGCGTGACCAGCCCCAGCTTGTTTCCTTGTGACGGAGCCCTGAAACGACTCATTTAGGAAGGCACTGAAAACGCCAAGAACAAAAATGATTAAATCCCTTTATGTAAGTGGGATTTCGTGCAAACAACTTCATAAACATGTTGTGTATTAACCATAGGAGCATTATATTTAAGAAACAGCTATAATGTGTTCACTAGGTTTAATTAGCCATTTGAATCTGAGGAAGGACTCACCTAACCACCCCTCCTTCCTCAGGATCAGAGAAATGAATGTGTGGATAAAAACTGCTTTTAAACCGTTTCCCTTCAGGTGCAGGTTTCATGTTTTGCAAATGGAAATGTATTACTTTCACACTTCCAAACAAGCTCCATGCAGTACTCCCATCGGCATTAATTGCATGCCGGTGATAAGTGGAGTGATTGCCAGAGACTAGGGTAGGTGGTTGCTTTAAGCAGTGTGATCTGGTAATTGTTTCAATTAGCACAGAATATTTTTTCATGCTTTATTTATTTGTGGGCTATTACATAATTGACGTGCAAAGTAGAAATAAAGAAACCTGGGCTTTAAGCTATTAATCCTTACACCTGCTTTCTTCTCCTCACTCTGGGCTGACTTGGCAGTCAGAACTCATTTTCACCGTTTTCTGGTCGTCATCAGCCGGGTCAGACTGGCTCACGTACCATTAAATGTACCATTCATTAATTTATGACTAACATTGATTTTAAATGTCAAGCATTTGAGAGAAAAGACAATACATTGGCAAACGGATGAGTGAGGTTCACATCAAAGAAAAAAAAATATTGGGTCAAGCAGACTCAATACTTATTAGAGTTGTGGATCTAAAATGTCAACAGCTATAAGTTGTTTTCGTGCGGGTTTGCACCATTTCACTCTTCTAAAAAATAATGTTCAAAAGTTTAATGTCTACAAATAAATGAGCAAATATAGGATTTCTAATAAATGTGAATGCAGGTTTGCCTGGGCATGGGACGAAGCACGGCTGCTCCATCTCCTGTTGGAGCTGCCGCTTCAGGACGTCTCCACAAAGCTCCATCTCCGCCGGCTGAGGAGGAGACTCGTGCCAGTGACCCCAATGGACGACACAAGTCAGGTTCCTTCTCCGTAACCCCTCACCGCACTTCGCTCCCTACAAAGATGCATAAAAGCACAGAAAACATGTTTTTCAATGCACTAAAAGAAGAAGTGATAGCTGATTGCTCAGGTTCATCTGTACGTTTACATTTATATACAGATTTTTTTCCCCCAAACATTTTTGGTTTATTAAGTTTTTGCACATTATTAATTCATTCAAATGCTTAGGTCTGAATGTGCAGAAATACTGGGAAGAACGTCAGACAAAAGTAAAAAAAGGGGCTTTTTCAACTCCAACACAATAATAAATTAAGGATTTGTCTTCTCAGATGAAAGTTGTAGCCTTTGGTTAGAGTGTTTTCATATTAAACTGAAATCCTCTAAATTTTTGTTGATTGCAACATCTAAACAAGACAAAAAACTATCAAATTTCACCAAAAACCAAGCTTACGTGTGTTATAAGCAGTATATTTGATACTAAATACATTTAAACATGAGAACAGAACATATTAAATATACTGATTCCCTAAATGGTTTATCAACAATCAGCAGCTTAGACGTTCCATAAGCAGCTTTGTAGCGCTGAAGTGAAATTAATTGGTGCCCTCGAAGCAGGCAGAGACTCAAAGGAGATAGCAAAGTGTTTTCAAGTAGTTATATTCTCGCTGCAGTTCATAATGTATTCAAGTAACGACAAGAACCTACAGAGGTCAAGTCGAGGTCTGCAAGTCCAAGAAAACTTTCAAAGAGAACTATTGAGGGAATTGCTGCAAAGGAAGTTCAAAACCCTCGTTTGACTGAAGAAGATTTTGTGGAGCAGAAGGGATTGAGGATTAACTCAAATATTACTGCCATAAAAAATAGTAAATCCTGCCTGAATTTGTTTGTCAACTGTGGTGATACTGCATGGTATTTTATTGTCTAACTGTGGAATAAAATATATGTCTTCATCATTGGCAGTCAAATTTAGATTGGCTTATTGTGTTGTTAAACAAATGGTGATAAATATACTTTATGTAACACAAGGCAACTCTCACATTTAAGTTCATTTTATTGGAGTTAATGTTGAAACAATTAGTAGTTGAAATATTGAGAAATAATATTTCAATAGTAATTCATGTTCTGTTCATTAGATTTATATGTTTAAATGTGTATTTGTGCTAACTGTGCAATTAGATGGGAACCTTTTCTATAGTTCCGTCCGTTGTTGCTAAGGGGGCATTTTTCTTGGCACACTCAGCAAGCAATTAAGAGACGAGCCACGAGGTTGCACGTCTACAGTAAGCTAAATAAAAGAGGGCCTTTTTTGGACTACCTCACGGCGTAAGGATTAAAGTCTATTCCCTTTGAGTGAGGCCAATGAGGTAAATGTTTTCTTTTGCTTATTATCGTTGTATATGTAAATTATGTAAATTTGCGTGATATTCTAGTGCAATTACCGCAGTGTGAAGTGTAACGTGTATTTTATTGATCGATTTGTTGAAATGTTCGTCATATAATGCTTAAGGACTTTATCAAGAATATTCATTTAAGTTTGTATTTCTTTTGTTTAGTTCTGACGGCATTGTACCGGCTGTGGTTGGACATCATTACATGTAAAGGCATGTCGAAGAATCCTCCTGTCCGAAATAAATGTCAGTAACAACAAAGAACAAGTTGAGCTTTATTAAGACTCGAGGGGAGTAACAACCTACACATAATTTCTATTTGACATATTTTCCATCAAACTTTGTGGTTCTTGCATTAGGTCCCTAGAATAAAAGCCATCATTCACTTTGCTGAAAAATAAATAAATCTGAAATGCTGACAGACCTCAAAAGATCAGGGTCTCTTCACTCTACCCTGCAAATCTCAAAAATTGGACACTTTGTCAGAAAAAGATTGACACGAGAACCAAAAGGCTCTAGACAGACTGTGAAACGGCAGGGGGGAAAGGCTTGTTACTGAGTTAACAACGATTCAAAGTATGTTGATTTATAGTCTGAGAGTAACGTCAATTTTCTGGAAAAAATATTTCATGTTTGATGTGAAATTGCACATAACTGCATCATTTTACTAAAATTCTCATCGGCGGGGTTAACATTTAGTGCACCGGTGTATGTGATTACCTCCACCACCAAATGTAGGTCATACCTCTACGGTGCACTGAGACCAGTTGCCCAGTAACCACATATAGCACGGCCTTATGGGACACGGTTTGGTCTGGCTGAGAAGGGTGGGACAGGGACGACCCTCCTCGTGAGCCTCCTGCAGGATCCTCCGGGTGCGCTCCGAGTGACCTACATAACATCAAGGCCAACACGTCCTTTTAAAGAACGAGTAAACGGAAGCAAGAGCATCTTCAAGCTGCAGCCTAGTTTTTAAATTTAAACACTTTTTTCTGCAGATAGTAAAAAAACAACTGTTCAATGTAGGATTCATAGGAGTAAGCAGCATGCAAGACATTGTTAGGAATATAAACGCATCAGTGCACACACACAAGGCTTCACAAAGCAACAGTTATGAAAATGAATGGCTGATATAAATGATTAATTTTTATTAAGCGGCAGAGAGAGGCTGCACCTTCTTATTCTGTGAAACGCTTTCCTCATGACTCAAATAATTGGTGCAGCAGCACAATGCATGATTCCTTGTGCCATTTTAAGCTCAAAACTTACAGCGTTTAATGACAGAGTCCTGCACAAGCGATCCGTTAATAATGCATGACAGGAAACATTTGGTAAGTGGCCTCTGAGTGACATGCAGAAGTTAAGGCACAGGAAAACCTCTCCAGGCAGCAGCATGCTGGTGACCATTTCAAGATTGTGTTAGATGATTAGTGTAATTATCAGAACGCTGACCTGTGCCACATTCACTTGGCCTTCGGCTTTAATCATACCATGAGAATGATCCGTCCTGTTTAGATGGGGTGTACCCGGGAGGAGGGAGGACTTTTTTGAATCACCAGACTAATGATGGGTTTAAAAGTTCAAGCCTGTGTGTTTTTTGTACCATTTTTTTGCTTTTAACTATCATTAAAGAGGCAATGTGTAGTTTCTACCATTACTTTTTTAGAATATCCATCAAAATGCTGTTGAAAATGAATGAAATGATGCCCAGTTGTTGACAAATATTAGCGGTGTTGTAACATAACCATAAAAATCAGGTCTAAAATACATGGGAGTGGGTCTAAGTCTCTGGACGACGCCATATAGGTGCCATGTTTACTTCTACGGGAGCCCATGAGGACAAAGTGCATTTACCGATTGGCAACAAATGATAACAAAACTATCGCCATTCTCCTTTAATTTATTTATTTTTTTAATTTTATTATTATTATTTTTTTACCGTGTCCTGTCTGGCTGTGAAGCAAGCGGAATTGATGTCTGAATGCTGGTGACAAGCCTTACAGATTTATTCTCAGGTGGAGCATCAAAGCGTTTGCTTTTAATGTCACGCCTGATACTTAAAACTTTATTGTTATTGTTGTTGACTGCTTGGTAATTCCGACCAGACACGGAGACAGAGGTGAAAGAGAAAGGAAATGAAAAGGTGGGGAGAGAGAGAGAGAGGGGGGGGGGGGGGGGGGTCCAAAAAAATAAACAATGAACAACAGTCTGCTTCTAGACCTGCAGAAAAAGACAAAAAAAAAGCAAAAGGACAAAAAAAGGGACACAACAACAATACGACAAGATCTATCTATCACTGCGTCAACTTGATGAAGAAATATATAATCAACATTGCTTAACTGAAGAATCACGATAATAAATCACAATGCATTAAGTGCCCACCATAGTCTTAAGACCTGTGTTTAACGTGCCCAAGCCCATACTTTTGAGAGCACAATGTGAGCACCTGTGTGTGTACACGCGCTTGTTTATTTAAGGTTTCTCTATAGGAGCGTCCAACAGAGAGTGTGAGGGACCACAGATCCGCCCCCCAAAGATGCGCAGGAGACGGGGGGGGGGGGGGGGAGCTCCAAGTCCCAGAGATCCAGGCGCTGCCCCAGAACACAGGAACCCCAAGGAGACTGCAACCAGAAAGGCCCCGGCCCCCCTCGAGAGGCACAGAGGATCGCCCCGGGGGGCCACAACCAGCAGCCGGCAGAGTCCCGGGAGATATCAGCGGCAAGCCCACAGGCCCGCCCGCAGCCTCCCACCCCCTAGCCGGCCGAGCCCGGGACCCAGCAACCCGGGACCCAGGTGCGACCACCCCCGCCGGGGACCCAGCAGAGCCCAGGGACCCAGACCCCACCAGGCAGCCACCGGGATCTATCAGGCAGATGCCAAAATCTTAAACCCTCAGACCCGGTTGCCACGAGCACTCAGGCAGACCACGGCACAACCCCTCACACCAGGTGTGGCAGGGGGAGGGGGGACAAAGATCTATATCATCAAGAGAAGTTCCAGGAGAGGGGAGGAGTCAAAGGCCCCACCTGACATATACAGTCATACACAAACACAGTCACACACTCCCTCCCTCATGCTCACACATGCACATACAACCCAAGACTTACAAAAATGCACACCGGACACCCACTCATGCTCCCCATACACACCCTATTCACTCTGGTCCCGGTACTGCTGCACATTGGGTACAACCATCACCGGTAACCAGAGTTTGACCCTTTCTGCTGGGGTGCTGATGAGCAGGCTCCCCCGCCCAACGCTGAGCACAGCAACCCACCACCCCAGACCCCAACCAGACGGCCAGATCCCCCTCCTAGCCTCCAGCCCCAGGAAGCCTAGCAACAACAGAGGTGGCAAAGACCCCCTAGTCTCCCTCCGCCTGCTCCAATATAGTGTTGCGTGATCATGAGGTGTATTCCATGGCTGTGGTGAGTGGGCAGTGCGGGCATCATCCGGCCTATGCCAGCTGATGCCACCGCACCACCCCACTCACACCTTCAGCCATCAGTGTCTAAGTGCGGTTTAAAATTGGAAGTGGGCACTGGCACCCGGGAGGAGGCTGAAATATCCCCATGCCAAATGCCGTTGAATGTGCTCACTCCCAAGGCCCTAAGTCTGTGTTTGTGTGGAATGTCGTCAGTGGAAGCGTATAAGGTGCAAATAAAATTGGGGGGCAGGTTGCCACAGGAATGCGGAAATGGGGTCCATACCCGCACTTCCTGACTTGCCCACCCCCCAAGGTCCTATGTGTATGTTTGTGTGATGATGTGAGGGAGCACGAGGAGAGAAATATGCGGGAATGGGGAGGAATGGTTGGTTGGGCTTAGCCCTCCAGGGAGCCAGCTCCCCTACTGGCCCCAATAGGCACCTCTGTTGTCAAACTGCCACCCAGGGCATGGAGACCCCAGCCCATCTTGCCAGGGCCCAAAGCAGCAGCATTACAGAGCCTCAGGGAGTCCGAGGGCACCAACCCAGCCCCACCCCAGCAGAATATCTATGCCCGTCCCTGCATTTGCACAACTTCCAGAATATATAAGACATGGGACATCCAGGTAAGGTTGGGTCCTCCCCCTCCTGGACCTCCCGCTCCCCTGTGATGGAACGGCAGAGGAGCCACGGTCTACCTGAGGCCCCCGAACCCGGGCCAGGCACTGCTGCATGTTCCTGCCTTCTTCCCGGCAGCATACATGTCAGGACCCGACCCCCAAGGCCCCCCCCCCAGATCCCCACACGGGGCCGGCCATCCCCCAAACCCTGAGCCCCCAGGCCCCCACCCAGACCCGCCCAGGGGCATTGCAGCCGCCAGGCAGTGACCCATGGCCGTCGCCAAGATCCCCACATACACATTTACCTCTAAACTTGTTGCCAGTGATGAAAGGGAGTCTGATGTGCTTGTTATTGTGTGTTCTGTGCTCCCCAGGGCTTTTTGACCCTAACGGGCATCCATTGGTAAGGTCTTACTCCAACACAAAAATACTGCTTGCTTGCAACAATTTAGCTATCTACCGCCCCCTATCGCAAGGGAAGATACACACTGTCACTTTAAATCATCTTAACTGAAACGTCTGGGTTAGTCGTTACTGAAGTTTATCTGTGACTGTGTGTACTGACCAACCCTCCCCAAAAATAAAAACAACCCAGCGGATCCAGAATCTGACGATGTAAAAAAGTATATGGCTGGGTGAAATGAGGGACAATCATGTGACGCGTCATACAAACTTCAATTTTTTCATAAATTGTCTCATATGCCAACTTGTTTGTAATTTATGATCAATTTAAATAACAATTTGGTTTCCAACCCCTAATTAACGTTTTTTTTTTTTCATTTTGCACACTTTGACTTGCAGAAACTAAACAGAGACACACCTGAGACTGGTTTGGGACCATATCCAGATGCATGAGAAAACTACTTAGAGAAAAGTTTTGATTTGTTATTTTAATATTTTTTTAAAGTTTTTAGTTCCAACAAAATAACAAGTTTGTGCAAGTGAGCTGAGGAGATTCAGAATCCTTGCAAATGTTTCAAGACACTGTCTACTCTTGTCACCTGTAGCCACAGCCCGGTCAGATACTGGGTGTTGTCTTAACCGTCTGGAGGCAGGCGTTGCAGATTAGCAACGTTAAAACCTACCTGCCTGGTTACTCCACACACGTATTTCATGAGCATTCTTTAACTCAGAAGTTCCCCTGAAGAACTTAGTTGTTCGTCCTTTTATCAAAACTTATTTTGAGCCTGGGGGGGGGTTATGGAGTAGAGAAACTGGCTGGTTTGCACTTTGTGTCCTAAAATCGTTTCATTCTAAACTGAGAAAGCAAATAAATAAATAAATAAATAATCAGTGTGAACATTTAAAGAGACATTAAGCAGCTTTTAACAATTTAACCAATTCCTTTAAAAGCTGGGTTCAGTGATTGTGTAGGTAGAAACTTCACTTGGGACAGCCCTCTGTAGATCTCCTGACCATAAACTACATTTAACAGTTTTGTGGAGTGAGTAGGCGTCCTAGGGGGCGCTTAACAGGTATTAACTGTGCCGGTAGCTAATATAAAGGCTTGCAGTTAGCCAACCGTAAATAAATAAATAAAAACAAGAATAAGTTTGCTCTTTTGTTGGTACCATGGCGGAGCCTGGAAGTAAAAGAGAATTATGTCTTTGGAAGTGATGCAAAGAGCTAAATCTGAGGGAACATTGTTCTTCACTCATCTGAGAAAACTAAAGAAGGCCATGAAATCAGGGTCTGAAGGTGACCTGGCTTTGTTGCTACTGTGATCTTTTTAATTCATGGCTTCTGTTAGCATTAGCTCATTAGCATTAGCTCATTGTTAGCGCTAGCTACAGCAGGCTGCTGCAGGGTTGTTTATGACTTTTCTAAATCTGCTTCAACCAGTGGGATGGAGGAGTAGGAAGCAGTTTATTGTTACTTTTAAGGTGGTTCCCCAATCAATCCATGTTAAACCAGCTCAGTGGCCTAGTGGTAGAGTGTCTGCCCTGAGACTGGGCGATCAGGGTTCGATTCCTGGTCGGGTCACACCAAAGACTTTGAAAAAATGGGACCCAATGCCTCCCTGCTTGACACTCAGCATTAAGGGGTTGGACTGGGGGGTTAAACCACCAAATAGTTCCCGAGCGCGGCTGTGTCTGCAGCTCACCGCTCCCCCAGGGGATGGGTCAAATGCGGAGAACAAATTTCGCACACACACCAGTGTGTGTGACAACTAATGGGACTCTGAATTTAACTTTATATAGCAATAGTCTCTTTTGCTCCTAGAAAAAAAGAATGAAAACTTTTTTTTTAACAAAGGTAAAGGCAAGAAAGCATATACAGATGAACGAGTTCTTCGGGTGCTGCATTTTTACCCTAGGTATTAGCTGGAGTATTTCTACCTTTCCAGACCATTTCTGAACCATTTCTTCACAGGCTGCAAGGTCCTGCGAGGCTCAGTAGACCGAAGTAGTGTGTGTGTGTGTGTGTGTTTTGCCAGGGGAGATGCTGAGCTCTGTAAGCCCCAGGCAGACACAGCAAAAAGCAGCTTCGGTCTGCCATCTAAAAAAACAAACAAAAATCAAATCCAAAACATTAACACTCCCATGGTACCCCGACAAAACAAGATCTTTGCATCGCCTTACACAGAAACGACACAAATCCCTCATCAGGTCTGAAAGATGTGTTTGACTAGGTGTCAGAACGAACTGAGAAAACTGGCAGAAAGAGTCACAGCTTCAGTGACAGAGCCGTGAGACACGCAGGCAGAGTCCCGAGTTTGAATCCTCGCTTGAAAGTGTCTGTGAGCTTATCGGAGTGAGGGGTTAAGTTTGAGTTGATAGACAGCCAGTGACAAATTACAATGAATGAACTTGAAGAGACAGTGTTGAGTCTTTCTAATTAGCAGGATAACAAGCTTTCTCTTTGAGAGACTGGCTTTGGGAAGCCAACGAAACAATATATGGATCCAGGTTAAATCATTAACTTCTGTATATTGCATGAGGGCGTGATGTGACATCCTCAAAGCGATGCATGGCAAGCCACAGGTTGCTGATTACTGGCTGCATTTTCCCCTATCGTCCATATTTAAGCTTGCTAAATAATTGATGGCATCCATACAGGTGAGCTGCATGAAATTTAGTCACAATTAGGTCCTAATCACATACACTAAAACGTTTTCATGCAAATAAAAAAGAATTGAAACTAGTAACGGCAATGTAAGCATAATTAAAAAATAAACAGTTTTTCTGTATAATAAGGCTGTGGATTTGCACAAGCATGTAAATATTTTAATGCATTTAAATGTATTCATGCACAACTCAACATCTTGATGAGTGCTCGAGTGGATGGAATAATGAGACGCGAAATATGTGGTCCACAGCATGTCTGTTCGCTGTTGATTTAAGTCTGTTTGCTTGTATTTACCTCGGCTCCCACAGGTGTGGGAGCAATCCGCCCACGGCGACCATTCAGACAGCACACAGCTGACAGGACAGTCGACCGCACAGCTCTCCAGCAGCTGCAACTTGTTGATCAAACCAAACTGTGAGAAACAAAAGCGGAACTGAGCGGAAATTCTGCTAATTATTTCTAGTTTAAAAAAAAGGGAATGAACAGCTACATTTTTGCATTTCTCCTATGCTGAATAGCTCAGCATTTGAATAAAAATACCTTCCGATTGTTGCATTAGCCCTAAAAATAACATTTTGACTGTTGAATTTAACACCTTAAATAGAAAATGCAACTTATCTCAATAAAACTGTAAATGGAACATTATTCCCACTAAAACAGAGGGTTAGTGCAGGTGCAGAACAAAAGTAGCATCAAGTTGAATAAAAAAAGAAATGCCCCTGCTTCTACCATCATTGCTGCATCCTTAAGACAACCATTTGTCTCTGTGCAATTGAGATAAGGCAATACCATTAAGCTCTGTTGACCTGGCGGCAAACCAGCTTGTGAAACATTGGTTCAGAGATTAGGAAACAACGTTTACACGTAAGAGCACGAGACAACTGGGCTTTCAATAATGTATAACCTACAGGTGCAGTACATCTTTATTTGAAAAAGACTAAATTAAACCACCCGTTTGTTTATAATATACAGTAGTTGGATTACTTTCACTGTGACTCTGAAAAAATAACACCACTGTTGATTTTAGTTCTCACGTTGATCATGATGTATTTTTGCAAAAATTATAGTTGATTATAGTAGGATGAACAATAAACTGCATGAACTGGGGCGGTATGATTGACAGCACCTCTAAAGAGTTTATTACACTTTAAACTATTGCTTTCCAACTGGTTTGTCCAAGTGGTTCTTGAGCCAGAAACTTTAGCAAGTTCGCATCACAGCACTCTGCTGACCAGAAACTGCACACAATGATTTTGTAGTCTAGTTGGGTTCATTAAGGGGACGTTTCTACCTGCTTTATGGCGGGGTACGAATTACACAGAAGCTTCTGGGGGAGCCCAGTGAGACGGGGGCCTTATTCTTGCCTTGGCCCCTGAAACGCCTTGATACAGCCCTGGGTGTGGGTCTGAGTTTTAAAGGAATTGTATCAACTATATAAATATTACATGCTTATAAATGAGTACTTTAGAAAGTGAAAAAAAATGTGTAGTGGGATAAATCTACATACGTTTTCCTTTTCAAACACTGTTTTGTTTTCTTGTTTTTCATTTGACTGTTTTCCTGTCTGTCTCTCATCTTCCTGCATCTCCTCTCAGTCCTACAGAAAAACTGATACCTAGCTTTCCCTATTTTCACCTCATCTGTTACTTTTTAACTTTTTCACTTTTTTGAGCCGATTTTCCACTCGTGTGAGAATCCATGACATCGGGGCGAGTTTTGCGCCGAGCGGTCGTGTAGTGCAGTGGTTCCTAACCTGGGGGTCCCGACCCCCACAAGGGGGCGCCAAAGCCTCTCAGTGGGTCGCCAGGACCTCTCCACTTTAAGGGGTTAAAACTTCATTTGTTACTTGTTTATAGCCTACATTTTGCTCACATTTTTTTCATGAGTGAAAAGTTTACTGACATTAAGACAGGAAATAATTAGTACAGAAAAAGTAACACACTTTTAAGAAGGACAACAGGCATGACAAGACCAAAAAGTGTTGAGTAAAAACTTCTATTTTTAGCATATTTTTAGGGCCGATGTGTTGCTACCAGACGTACAGTGTGAGCAGTCAGGTCGCTCGCATGCGAGAACTGGGTCGTGCAGTGTGAGCACATGACTCGTGAGATCTGCTCTGCGAGGAAGTCGTACAGTTTGAGCTGAAGCTGAACGCTGCGAGTGAAAAAGTCGCACAGTGTACGCCCGGCTTTAGCAGTTCAAAGTGAACAATAGACCTCCAAAATAGCGGAGTACGCACTGCGCTCCGGCCACACCACTGAGATGAAGTCACCTGAGCACATCACAGGTGATGTGCAACAGCGAAGTGCATCAGGCACAAATAAAAGACAGAAAGCACCAGAGGATATGAGCCAACATAGACGATCATGTGTTAATTATATTTTCTTGGGGTGGCAACATAATGAGAATGTTACTGTGGCCATGCACAGGACACCGCTGCCTGGACCGCATCAACGATCATCGCTCTGCGTCCTCTCTGCTCAAAAGAAACCCTGGAGACCACATAAATAATGTAATACAAGTGAAACCAGGATTTGTTTTCAGGCTCCCCCTGGGTGTGTAAGTTGAGGGCTTCCAGGGGAGCACACTATTGGAAATGCCAGGCTCCCCTTAACTCCCCCATAATTCGAACCCTGCCAGTAGCTAAAATTAGCATCAGTTGGCTTGTGTTAGTGTTAGGTCGTTGTTGGCGCTAGCTACAGCAGGCTGCGGCAGCGTTTTCTTTTTTATGACAGATGTAATTCCTCTTTCAACCAGTAGGAGGGAGAAGTGGGAAACTTATTTAGTGTTGCTTTAAAGGTGTTTAGTTCGCAATAGTTACTACCTGCTTGCACATCTGCAGCTCCACAACCTTTCCATCACTCTGCACACAGTCCAGGTGGCGCGAACGTGAACCGTGACCACACACAGCATGTCCACTCAGTTGGCACGTACTCCATTCTGCAAAATGAGCACAATCACGGACCAGATGAGTTTTTACTTACATTTGCTGAAGGTAAACTCTCAACACAGCTGTAAGCACACCCACACAGATACTAGCATCTCACAGACAGTCAGTGTATCCGACAGCTGATCATCCTGTTTGCTTCATTTGTGGTGCATGCTGGGAAATGAGTGAGGGTAGTGTTGTGTTAAAAGCTCCACGAATGAGCTGCTGCTGTTGTGTGCTGGCTGCAAAAACAGTTTTCCGTCAGGCTTCGCAACAGAACACAGGCAGCGAGCCGGCTGTTCCCGAGGGAAGTGTTTAATAGATATCATCACGAGGTCACAGAGGAGAGTGTAATCGCCCTTCTCGTTATGATGACATCATGTTGATGGTCACAGTTATAGTCAGATCTTTATATGCACTGCAACAGGAGCACAGATGGTAGGCCAGGAAAATGGACAGACTTCCACAAACCAAACTCATTTTTATTTTTTTCCATCATCTGAGCAGAGATAAAACACGCCATTGTGTGTGAGCTCACGTATGATGTTACAAAAACGTGATTTTGCTGAGGGCAACTTAGGAGCCACTCCTAGTCCGAACACAAGCCCGCGGGGCATCATCCGTTTTCAGTAATGTTTTTTTAACCTTGTTGCTTAGCAACAGGGGCAGCTGGGCTCTGACCCTGAGCCTGAGCCACAGAGAGAGAAAACATCAGGAATTAGACAAACCCTCGCAGGTATCAACTCAAACCTCGACATAGCTTTACTCAAGTCTGGAAAATCAAAGACACTGATGCAATGAATGGCCCGTAGGACAGAGGATAAACGGTTTTCTGGATTTTAAACCTCAAAAGTTTTATTTTCTGTCTGATTTTATATGCATACAAATATTCAATAACTGTCAAAACCAGAGCAACTAACAGATAATCTCAGTATTAAAGTCAGGATTTTTTAAAGATTATTATTATTAATTCACACCTCTAAGTGACAAGTTTGAGTTGTAAATAATGTCAGAAAAAAGGAGATTGGAAGAGACAGAAATAAAGAGTTTACGAAGATGCTTGGATACTTAAATCTATGGATCTAATTGTACAAATATCACAAGATTTGAATGTTCCAGTGTAACTTAAAACTGTGTCATCGATCATTTCATAAGTTGAATGGTACCTGAAAACCAGTCTAAGCCCAGTTTAGACTTGGGGAAATAAACAGAGGCAGGTGCAGTAATAAGAATACAATCTCTGTGGACCTCGGCAGCAATAAGATGAGCACACACACGCGGTGCAGCTTTGAATTGGAAGTCAATATTCAAACAGCACGTTAAAATGGAATCAAGCAAACACTCAAGTGAGAATTTACTCCAAAAAGGAAACTTAGGTAGCCTGGCAGGACATCCTTTATATAGTCTGGCCACAACCCACAGTCAGTCAGTCGGAATATAAGGTTGTCTTCTCTGCACGCAACTGGACAACACTAGGACCAATCAGAACAACAGACAATGTCACGTATTAATCGCTACGGAAATCAGTCAGTGGAGCTGTCTGCCACGCACCACAGAATGGTAAATGTCCTGCGTTTGTGTATAGCGCGGTCTAGGGCCCTAGAGCACCCCCAAAGCCCTTTACAACGCAATCAGTTATTCACCCATACACACACATTCACACCCTGGTGGTGATGAGCTACAATTAAAGATGTCACACACACTGTTGTGTAGTGAAACTTGGGACTAGTCCACACGTAGCCGTTTTTTTTAAACGGATATCCGCCCCTCCAAAAACTTGCATCCACACCACCTCGTTTAAAAAAAAACTCTGTCCACACGTACCCGGATAAATACGTTGTTAAGGACATGCCAGACCTGTAGGCGGCAGTACTTCCCCCGTTCTTAACCTCGTCCTTCATCTGTGGTCTTCCGCAAGGAGCAGTAATTCCGCTTGCAAAAACAAACAAGCAAAAAGCGCTTGGACAATTGATAAAGCGAGCGCCGCTCTGAGGGCATCCATGCTGTCGGCTAGTGTAAACACAGGTCGCACACGTGATGTCAGCATTTTTCTTGTAGCGGAAAGTGACGTTGCAGAGCTTAAAACTCCGGTTTTGTCTGTCCACACGCAGACACCCAAAACGGAGAAAACGCAGATCTTCACTTTGGCCGGAGTTTTTAAAAAGATCCGTTTTCGTGTGAAAAAACTCCATTTTCGTGTGGATAGAAAAATATCTACGTTTTGGCAGATCCCCGGCTACGTGTGGACATGGCCTTGTTCTCTGCATTTGACCCAACCCCCGGGGGAGTGGTGAGCTGCAGACACGGCCGTGCTCAGGAACAATCTGGTGGTTTGACCCCCAGTCCCACCCCTTAATGTTGAGTGTAAAGTGGGGAGGCAATGGGCCCCATTTTTAAGGTCTTTGGTATGACCTGACCATGGATTTGAACCCACGATCTCCCAGTCCCAGAGTGAACGCTCATCCCACCATGCCCCTGAGCTGGTACAATGTAGCCACAGCTGCCCTGGGGCGACCTGACAGAGGCAAGGCTGCCAAGCACAGGCACCACCAGTCCCTCCAACCACCACCAGCAGGCAAGATGGGTTAATTGTCTTGCCTAAGGACACAACACAAGTGTTCTCCCCCAGAGGTCATGATCAATCTTACAACCCTCACATTTGTGGTCAATCCGCTTTACCTCCTGAGCTGCTCCCCCAAGAAGAGGACAAAGAAGAAGAAGCCTAATGGGCTCGACACACGGGAGGTGACAAACGACCACAATCAGCAAAATTTGTTGCTGTCGCTTTTATTAGCTGACACATGGGAGGCGATCTGCGGCAGCGGCAAAGCCGTCTACGCGTTCTGTTCCATGGTGAAATCGAAACTTCCGTTGTTTTGTTTGGCTGTGTCAGGTTGGAGGGAATTAAGGTTATTTAAGCGGTTCAGAGTTAATAAAGTGGCAGATATGATGCTTCACAAGGTGCTGATAGAGTTATGTGAAATCTTACTTCTGATTTTACTATAAAACATAATAATAATCAACTTCTCCTCCATGTTTGCTCGGAGATGTACGGAGCATCCTGTCTGCTCATTGGTCAGTGAATGAAACCTCCGTTGATTGGTCCTCGTCCGAGCGACAGCGATGAAAAGTTGAAAATGTTTCAACTTTCTGGGATCGCGTCGCTGGGTCGCCTGTGCACGAGCGCAAAATTTCACACGCACGTTTTTTGCGTTTCGCCTGGTAGGAGGGAGACCCGCGATTATTGCTTTGTCGCACATGTCTCATTGAAAATGAATGGAGGAGAGGCGATGTCGCCTCCCGTGTGTCGAGCTCATAAGTCTAAATTGTCAAACGTTTGTACCAAAGCAGTTTCAAACGAGCGCTGTTCCTAAGCTGACATCATCTTTCTAGTTGTTCTCCATTGCAGCTAATAAAGCTTTGCCAAACTCTCTACAAACAGAGCACTGTGATTGGTCCGGCCAGAACTTACCTGATCCAGAGGTAGACTTGTTGAGGCCACAATGGAGTGTGGCTAGACCAACCTGCTGCTACTACTACTGTTGGTCTAGATTTCTAGGCTACAGCTCAGGACCAAAATAACAAATCTCATTACTTAGATTTTTTTAATGCGGTTGATGTTATTGCATTTATGATGTGCATCTTTTACATTCAGATTATGATAACATTGAGTCGTGTTTATAGTGAGCGTCTCTTTCAGTTACATTCTTACCCGTGATTGACCCTGCACTTTCACCAAAGTAGCAACAAAAGCTCTTCTAGTTGTGCTTTACTGATTTATTTCACTCACTGACCGCCTCGTGTGTGTGTGAAGGGAATCCTGGAGGGGTGGAGAAGCTCGTAAACATCAGCTTCACCAAAGCGGCACCAACTTTACAGATAAAAGTTGTTTAAGCTAACACACCTGACACGTTTGAGTTTGAGCAGGCTGAGCCTGCTTCAATAAAGATGCAAGAACGATAAACAGAAAGTCAGATTCTCATCTGGATTTTCAAAAGGAGACGCAGGTTGTTGCTGTTCAATCTGTTAGGGGCCACAAGGGGTTGCAGGCCTGAATGGTTCATTTTAGAGACACTCTCTGATCTAAAGGAGAAAGGAAACGGGAATAAAAGTTCTCATAAATTTTACATCTCCAAACAAAATGGATTTTTTTATATCTATGAAAATATGTTATGACCTTATCAGACACACCGTTCTAAAGCAGATTCACAAACAGTGTTACAAAGTCTAAATGCACTCTCCGGGGTGAAATCTCTGATCGTCCTTTTGTGCAAGTTGTCATACCTGAGACTTTGTGCCGGTATGTGAAACAGGTACTGTTGAGAACACAAGGTTCTGACTGGACCAGTTCTGGACAGGATGTGCCGTTGGGCGCTGGGAGGCGGAGGATGCGTCTGCTTCTGTTCCTCGTGGATCCACGGTCACATTCCTGCAACAGCAGCACATAAACGGGTAAGAAGAGGAAGGATCTTATGCATGCATGTTTATGACCAGCTGACTCAAATGCATGACAAAAATCATTCTGGAAACCTGAAAGCAATTTTTCTTAAAGTTCCCAATATGTTCTAACCTTTGTAATAAGAAATAGAGAGCTGGCTGTCACTGTGAGATTAGCTGTATAATTTACGAGAATAAATTATGCATTCCTCCCATCAAGATAACGATCCTTTTTACACAAAAACCCTACATTTAATGGATATTTATACAAGACCAGATAAGCCATTTTCTTTTGTCAGCTCCAGTGACGGAGTTCTTGTCATTTCCCTCAAGAATTAGTTCAATTTAATCATTTTTATACTGATAATTATGAAGGAAAATGTTATGAAGATATTTGTTCATGAATTTTTTTCTTGTTGGAAATCACTCAGACTGGACATACAGAGTTTATTATTGAGTAAAAAAATAAAGAAACTTCTAAAACTTTCTAAATAAAAAAGTGTTTCTTGCACTTGAAGTCAGTTGTCACACAGAAGTGTGGAGAAACGTAGTAATGAAAACCTTAAAGGTGGGGAACACCCAGTTCATAAATTTTCAGTGGGCTCTAGTAGGAATGAATGCTTTGTAAGTCATGGGGGCAAAAATTAAAAAAATAAAACACTGGTGCACCATTTCCAGGAACTAGAAGTGAGCCACATCACAGCTGAGCTTCGAATGAGGTTTTGGATTTCCTGATATTTGGACATCTCTCCTCTGATTGGATAACAGCAGTGCAACTCTACCACTGACTTGAAACGTTTCATCTCCACAAAGAACACAAGCCTGGGGGATTTCTGCAGTGCGGCGGAGCTGCTAATGCTAACGGTTAGCTTCTACCAACTGAGACGTTCAACAGCCTTCCCCGTCGCGAGTCAAGATGGGTGAGTCCATGAACGCAGATTTAGAGTGACAGAGATGAGGATTTTCAAATCCTAGCATTTCTATTAGAAGCTAATGCAGGAGATAGGCGTAGGAGACTATTTTCATGTTCAGCCTGCATGAAAAACTCAGAGTGACCGATAATAATCAGAAATAAGATTTTTTTGAATGGTTTCAGTGTTTCGCACCTTTAATCAATACAAAAAAACCTCCATCAAATTCTGATGTAACTTTAAAGAAACCATTTCACCCTTCCTACCAGGCTTTGATTATTTCACCGACGACCTGATACAGATCACACGATTACACCCATGAGTTCAGCCATCTTTAAACCTTGCTTCTGATTCCAGATTAAAGTTATATGATATAATCAAAGATTAAGAAGCACTTTTACAATGTTTTTTAACCGATTGTTTTTGCACGTGTGTGAACTTCAGCTGGTTTTTTGTCCCACCAAAGCCTTGCAATTGGATTGTATTGATTTTGCAACGAATTGGTCTGTAATTGGACTCAAAGTAAATCTGTTTGAGCACGCTGAGATTACATTTGCTGTTAGTCGGTCCTAATGACAAACTGACCTGAAATAGTTATGAAAGTAAACTTTTTAATCGCACAGACATGATTTATTAGGAAGCAGTTATCAGACAGCTTTTCAGTGCTTGTGAGCTTTAATACACATTATGTGGCACTGATCTGTAAAATCAGTGTTTACCTGCAGTCTTGGAAGTGTAGATTAACATGGGGCTAATAATTAAGTGAAGGGTAATTATCAGAAATACCTGCAATCAGGATGTAACAACATGATGTGGTTTATTCAAACCTGTAACCAGAGGACGTTTGGATACAGATAAATGGCCTGTATTTGATATAGCACCTTCCAGAGTCCTGGAACCCCTCAAGGCGCTTTACAACACAATCAGTCATTCACCCATTCACACACACATTCACACACTGGTGGGGATGAGCTACAATGTAGCCACAGCTGCCCTGGGGCGCACTGACAGAGGCGAGGCTGCCGAGCACTGGCGCCGCCGGTCCCTCCGACCACCACCAGCAGGCAACGTGGGTTAAGTGTCTTGCCCAAGGACACAACGACAGCGACAGACTGAGTGGGGCTCGAACCAGCAACCTTCCGATTACGGGGCGAGCACTTAACTCCTGTGCCGCCGTCGCCCATAAACAAAAAGGAAAGAGATAAATGTCTTTTCACGGAGTTGGATGCGTTCCTCTGCACCTGATGCACCACCTGCACTTCCATCAGTGTCAGATACTAATAAAAAACCAGAGTGTGAGGCTCATAAATCAGCTGCAGCCATTGTAGTGTTAATATGTTGTCATTTTCACACAACCTTGCACACATTTGTGTGATCTATGCAACTCGCTGCAAGGTGCAGCAGTCTCATTGCTCAAATGTGTTTTAGGTGCAGAAACACGACTCATTTTAGACCTTTATTTTTCAGAAGGAAAAGCATGGCTACGGGCATCAGTTCAGCTCCTAAAATCTGTAAAATAAACAAAAAAATGTAAGATAAAATGTTTTTAATTTTTGTTGAAACATTTGCCACACTACCAAAGGTGTCGAGTTTCTAAAAATAAATGTATGCTTTATAAAAAAAATTGATATAATTTAATTTAACGTTTGGTTATATTTTCTCTGCTGACAGTTAAGAATTGCAGAGAGCCCAAGTCTCCTCCCCTTCCGGTGGGCTCACGGGTCCCGGAACAATGATGAAATGAATGCCAGTGAATGGGGCCGTAAACGTTATTTTCTAATCTGCTTTGCCTTATACCTTGAATCACACACACACACGCGCGCGTTTTGAACTTCAAGTTAAAGGAAAGTAAATTATGTGAGTTTTGGCTATGTCTGCCGTGGAGATTTGTCAGCTTTTATTTGTTAGTAAAACTACAAAAAATCAGACGTTGCATGACATCACTGCAAAATTTCACTTACTTTCCACATTACCAGACTGTTTGCCTTGGTTTGCTCCACATTTAATGCTCATTCTGTCGTCCCGGAGGAAAGATTCAAAGCTCACAGCCATTTTTTTCTCCGAGCCTGGTTCGATGACGTCAATGTGGTGAGATGCATTTGCTTCTTTTCACACAAAACCTAAAATAAATGTTGCTGCCGTTGGAAAATAAGCGCTTTCTTGGCATCAGAACGTGTCTTTAAAATTCAAACACCATAAGTGAAATCCATTGCTCATTTCAAATGGGATTAGAAATTTTATTTTGTAGCCCCATTTGCTTGAATTAACTTTATTTCTGGGGACCGTGGTCCAGAATTTGATGGGCGTGACTTCAGCTCCCTATTAAGGATTGAGAAGACCCATTTAACACAAGCACTTATTTTTTTAAATAACAACATTTGTTTCTTATGTGATAAAAGCTATAGAGATGGTGAAAACAGCTAAATACTTTGGCTCATGAACTTTCGTGTTCCGTGACTGTATTTGTTCAAAGCCTAGCTTGTTTTGTAGATTTGCTACAACAGCTTTAACATAGTAAATCATTACTTTTATTCATTTAATTGGGTTTGTGGGCTTCTTTGTGTCAAACATTTACGCAATTAGGATTTTAACCTACAATCACTTATTTTTTAAATAATATTTGCTTCTTATGTGATAAAAGCTATAGAGATGGTGAAAACAGCTAAATACTTTGGCTCGTGACTTTCGTGTTCCGTGACTGTATTTGTTCAAAGCCTAGCTTGTTTTGTAGATTCGCTGCAACAGCTTTAACAAAATAAATCATTACTTTTATCCATTTAATTGGGTTTGTGGGCTTCTTTGTGTCAAACATTTACGCAATTAGGGTTTTAACCTACAATCACTTATTTTTTAAATAATATTTGCTTCTTATGTGATAAAATCTATAGAGATGGTGAAAACAGCTAAATACTTTGGCTCGTGACTTTCGTGTTCCGTGACTGCATTTGTTGAAAGCCTAGCTTGTTTTGTAGATTCGCTACAACAGCTTTAACATAATAAATCATTAGTTTTTTTTTCATTTAATTGGGTTCGTTGGCGTCTTTGTGCCAAACATTTATGCAATTAAGATTTTAACCCACATATTCTGCACAGAAAAAAATCGTCATTTAGTTTTCAGCAAATATATTCAATCACATTAAAATAGAAATGGTTCCTTTTCAGATTTTTCATCTTTATGCAACATTTATTCATCAGATTATTCTTATTTCTAAAAATGCGTTGTAAAGTTTCATACTCAAATACTGAACAAGCGTTTATCTTTTTTTCTCGCACTAATGTTCTAGTTCAGTTGACTGTTTTGACAGATAGCCTGTATTATTACTACATGGCACTGCAACCAAGGGGACCTGTGTACTGTTGTTCAAGCCTAAGGCCTAAATATCACTGGAGAATGAAACCAAACACCAAATAACTTTGGACTAAAAAGTCTCCAAAACCCTTTCAAATGACACTTATCACCACTATTGTGCTGTGAATATGTTATCCTAATATTTATACATCTGAATCTGAAAGACCAAAGCAGAAAAAGTGACACCATTAAAAACAAACGCTTGACGTCAGTTCAGTATTTATATTTTGGCAGCTGCTAACTGGAATCAAAAACGCCTTCATTTTTTTTCCCTTTCTATGTGCCAATTTTCTGCTATTTCATACATTTTTCATTTTATAAACATGATTTCAAAGCAGGTCAGGAGCAGAATTTGTGAAGCAATGATCAGAAAAAGTCATTTTATATTCAGCTAATTACATTAAACAGAGAATTAATCAAAAGTACTCATTTATCTACTGAAAGCATGAATTAGCTACACTTTAGATTTTACTTGGTGCATGTATAAGGAGCTTTAAAAAAAGAAAATAGGATGATTTTAATTAATATATGATTATGGCCAAACGTACCAGAGGGCAGCTGCTCCACGGCCCCCAGGGGGAGACAACGCAGTCGTTGGGGCAGGATATTAAGCAGACCTGAGCTCTGGGCGGTGTTTCCTCCTGATCACACAGAACATCATCCACAGTAACGTTCTCTCCACCCGTTTCTCCCTTCTTCACACACCTAAAAGAGCAGCAGTAGCAGCTGAAAGTCTAATCTCAAAGGCGGTCACAACTTTAATTCCCCTTTGCAAAGTCAACTTAATGTATGCCACTCTCTTTGTCGCTCTCTCTGTTTTAGAAGCAAATTAAAATGATTTTCTGACCATTTTTAGACTTGCAGCAAAATGGGAAAATAAATAAAAACTCAAAACAGTGAATGACAAAAAATATTCTGGGACTTTGTCCACATATTCGCAGACAGGTGAAAATAATATAATACATTGTAATTTGGAAGTTTTATTCAGGCTTTTCTTGCCACTCAAACCCTTCTTCACTGGATAAGCGAAAGATCTCCACCAGCCAGAGGACAAATCTGCATCCATCAGGAAAAAAAGAGCATTTTTGCTCCGATAGATGTTAAAACCCTCCTCCACTTGCATTTTCATCTCAATAATTAACACAAGCCTGAAGGAGTTCTGCTATGTTGTGGAAGTGTTAATGCTAACGCTTAGCTTCTACTAGCAGATACATGCTCTGCTCTCTCCTGGGTGCTAAATCAGCACAGCCTCTACGACTAAGAAAGCAGAAAGTAGGGGCAGAAGATTATTGTCCACATTCGGCCTGCATGTGAAACTCAAAGTGACTGATCAATTAAAATTTTTTTAAATAAGTATAAAATGGTGAACCTGCTCTTTAACATGAGCTCAGTATGAATGCAGCACATTTATTTGCAACACACCAAATGTAATCAGAGATAGTTTCTTGCATATGAATATTATTGTTTTATTAGTAATGCTGTGTTTGTTTAATTAAAGGTGCAATGTGTAGAGAATAATGTAAGAATCACATCTGTGGTGAAACTTAGCTTCTGCAATGACTTTTACTGCTGTTCCATGAGTTTCATGGTTGCCAGTTATCAGTACCACACGTTTGTAGATGACGAGCAAAGACGAGTCATTTACAGCGAGTTGATAACATCATCATGCCCGGCTCCTAGTCTGCACACCAGTGGTATAAATGCACTGAAACGGTCCTAATGCCCACCACAATAGACATTTATAAAAGTGCTGTTGCCAAAAGATAATCTGTGTTAACATGTAAACTATTGTTGTTTACATGTTAACAGGAATATTAATGATTATGTTGGTAAAAAATAACAAAAGATGAAGGTCTTTTGATTTACTTTTCCTCTTTCCATAAAATGTTGTTGTTGAGGGTTAAGGGGACTTCCCAGCATGTGAACATAAATGATACATCACTGGAAAGCCCAGGGTGTCCTCTAAAGAGCAGTTCAGGGCTAAATGGGATAATTCAGAAGAGTGAAAGAAAACAAAGGTGAACAAAATGTCCACTAAAGAGGACACAACCGACTGGATAGAGGCTTTATTCCATTTCTGCTTCTCTAATGAGCAGGTTGAGTTTTCACAATGAAACAATAAATGCTTCTGTTTCCCCTGCAGTCGTTCAAAGTGCAACTGAAACTAAAAAGACTACAAATGAATTAGACATTCATTGTGAGGCATTTGTTTGTTTTGACTGTTTTCCTTCAGCTCTGCAGGTGTGAATGACAAGTTAGTGAGGCTGCTGAAAGGACCGTTGCCAATCCCGTTTCTGCTGTTGTGTGTTGCGGCGCCAGTCGAGCGCTCTGCCAAGTATAAGCCGCTCACTGACCTGATCTTGCGGCTTTGGACTCCCTCCCCACAGGCTGGCAGGTCGTCCATGGTGCTGATGGTACAAATGGACCAGGGCTCGATCCTCCACTCGTACTGGATGCACTCTCCATTGCACGGCACCGCCTCGTACACCTATATGCACACGCACGCACGCACGCACACACACACACACACACACACACACACACACGCACGCACGCACGCACGCACGCACGCACGCACGCACGCACACACACACACACACACGGGAAAACGACACAAATGAGAATCACTGGAAAAACATGCATTCCAATCAGCACACAAAAGTCAATATAGAAACCAAACCTCCTGCACTCACAAGCATGCTACCTGTAAAAAAACGGGTCTACATGAAGTAAAAACGTGTTTTTTTTTGGGAGAATTCCAGTTTTCAGAGTCACCTAATGATGTCTCTCTTGGTTAGAAACAATGTCGCCCTGGGCAAAACAGAAGAAAAAATGGCAAATACTTCACACTTCATGTATCATCTTATGCAACATGCTCCATCTTCCTTTGCGATTCTTTTTAACATCAAGCACTGGGGCTTTCCTGGAGCGCGCCGAGGTCTGTTGGAGCTGAATGTGGCTCCCTTCATGACAATAAAAACACCAAAAGCCTGAAAATCCAAAAGTCTGCCAATGTATTTAGAGAAATGAAAGAACAGCTCAACTTAAGGACAACCTTCATCAGAGAGAGGGCCTGAACTTGCTTGTGCAACCGCTGCGAGAGATAAACAAAAAAGTAAAACTACGCATGACACAGAGAGAACAGCATGGAGTGTGTAAACGCAGAATGACCATGGCAACAGCCCCCTCAGCTGAGGATGTAATTGGCTGGATTTTGAGCCTATTCACTTCCTCCCGCTTAGCCAGAGAATCTGGCATGCCCGTAGACCCGAGGGAGCAGCCGGCACAATGCTCCTGTAAAACACATGTTTACTCTCAATCTATGTAACTGTCTGCCACAGTAAAAGGTATGCTCTTGAGGACAGTTTGTGGGAAAAGCTATGACAAGCTGCAATGTGTGTCAGTAGGTGTGTGTGTGTGCTCAGACTAGAGAGTGGGAATGAGTGTTGAGTATTCCCTCCCCTGCGGGCCACACAGATGCCTATTACACACCGTCATCATCTCCCATCTGTCCCTGCAGATGCCCCTGCTGGGAAAACTGGCAACTTCCCTACTCCTACTTTCTCCTTTCCTACTGCAGAAACACAGTTTAGAAACACGAGGGAAAATAAACTAAAAGTTGTGGCTCTCCTGCCTCACTAGATACAAACTTTATGGACCACTAAAGTTGGATTTTAAGAACCATCTATGAAACGGTGGTAGCACTTAGATAATCGATTAGAGCGGCACAGCACGCAAAATAACGCATCAAGTCAAACATGAGATTAAGCTGATATGTTAAAGACCAAGTTCACTTGTTTAACACATTTGCAGTGGTCTCCATTATAAATTAGTGACTTCTGAGTTGATCTCTGGAAGTAGAAGCTAGTCAGAGGATTAGTGAGCAGAAGACAGAGGATGTGGTTTTATTTCCTGATAATACAGGGACTCGGCTCTCATCGTTGACTTTGAAAACCCGTTCAAAATATTCGATTCGTTCGTGAACGTCACATCACTACATGTGAGTGAGTCACCACGGTAGGAAGCCCAGCTTGCTGTGAGCGACAGTAGCAAGCGATCTGTGGCTGTTGAGTGAAAACAAAAGAAAAACATTCGGGACTGAAGCTCCGTCAACACTGGCTGGCGAGGCGGCTGCATTTCTAAATAAAGCATGTCATTTTGGTGGCGCGCGCAGCTGCAGCTCACGGTTCTGGGAGAAAGAACCGGGCATGAAAGTCCCGTCAACAGCAGGTGGAGCTCACCGCTCCGCCCATCTCACAACCACCAGAGCGGAAAAAAGCACATGGGCTTGGATTATATAGATGGGATTCTGTGTGTGAAATAACACCAGTTAAATTATTACTTAAGTGTTGTTTGTGTCTGGTTTAATATTTTTTTTTTCAGAAGCCCTACACACTGTGCGTGATGCGCGTTTGGGGAGCGCAGGCGCTGGTTTAGCGTGAGATATAGGAGGTGTGGCGTGAGAGCGTGTGAAGAGGGTCGAATGCGTGTGTCTCACGCTCGGTGCGTGAGAGTTGGTAGCCCTGCCAACGTGAGATCTGTGTAGCTCATCTAATCCGAACATTTTCCCATCGATTTTCTATCTGTGGCTAATGCAGGAAATATTTGTAGAAGACTATTTCCATGTTCATTTGCAAGTTAAGCTAAGAGTGACCAATCATGTTAAACTAAGTGAAACAAAAGGTTCCCAGTGAACTTGCTCTACAAAGTTAATGTACAACAAAAAAACAGGTTTTGTTTTCAAGTGCACAATTTTTTTAGAGTGCAAAAGAAAGCAGAACAGCCAATAACATGAACCAGATCCATTCATTAGCTTGTTTAGCTTTATTCTGAGCTCTTTGGAGAACTGGAGTGCTTTTCTTCAGACGTTTAGAGCATTATTCTTTGAGCTCGCTCTAAAAAATGTTACCGACAATGCATGATCCAATGAAGACTTAACGTTTTTGATAAAGGTTATGTAAGTGGAGGTGAAAATCAGATGGAATATCATTCAAATGGCTTTTAAATAACTATTTAAGGCAAGCTTCTGTTTGATTTTGTCTTAAAGGACTAGAGGAGACAGATCTAGCATGCACTTAGTCCTCGTTATCTAAAGCAGAGTACATGTACACAATGAATGGCACTGACCTGAGCCTGCGTGGATGTCCATATTAGCAGTGCATGACAAGCCAGAAGTTGGGGAGGGGAAGAGAAGAACAATGATATGATCATTAGTTTAGATTTTGCCCGTGGTGACAGAAATAAATAGCTGCGCTTAAGTTTGGTTTTAAAATCCACAGCATTTTGCTCAGTGTTTCATTAATGAGGGTAAAGGATGATTAGGTGCTTCATCATCTGCAGTGAATCCTGAATATATTTGTCAAATGGAAAGATTCATGCTGCCAAGGGACTTCTGAAGTGCCGCAGTTAGTCATAACAGCTGCGCTCCGGCCAGGCCCGCGTCTGAGGGCAACTCCAAGAAACTAATTTGTCTGGAGATGGTGAGCGTGGATAAGCATATGCTCGAGAAGGCAGCGTGCTCTCTATCAAAACAAGGGTGCTGAAAGGAAAATGCAACGTTGGGATGATAAAAAAAAATGCCACTACCAATGACGGATGGTTAGGAAGTCCAAGAGGATTTAGAGGGACTATTTTAAAACCTTTACTCTGTTCTTGATTCTTCAAATATGCTTTAAAAACAGGGACATTTTTCCGTCCATCATGTCTGATTCCAGAAAGGCGGAAGTGTTTGATTTGTTACCTTTTCAGAGGAATAATTTTGTTTAAAGACCAAGTTCACTTGTTTCTTTAACACCTTTGCAGAGTTCTCTAGAATAAATTAATGCCTTGTGAGCTGAACTCTGTGCAGAAAAAAAAGCTCAGATGCTCCCGTTTCAGGGAGTTGAAGTTAGCCAGCTGAGTGGAGGGCAGAAGATGGCAGGGTTTGGAGTCTTCCTCGTTATTATTCAAATATCTCATCTCTGATTGGCTAACAGCAACACACCTCTTCCACTGCCTCTGCTAGTTGTTGATGTTGTTTTATCTCCACAGATAAAACAAGCATGAAGGAGCTCTGCTGTGTGGTGGAGTCGCTAATGCTAACAGTTAGCTTCTACTAGCGGAGACATTCTTTGCTTTTTTCCTGGACGCTAAAAACCAACAACAGCCTTCCCCGTCGTGAGCCAAGTTGGGCATGTCCATAAATGTTAATTTTACAATATGACAGATATGACCAGGCGGCTGACACAGGAAATGGGGGTAGAAGACAATTTTCATGTTTAGTCTGCATGTGAAACTCTAAGTGACTGAGAGCATTTCAAAAAGAAAAATAGTTTCTTAATGCCTGGGGCCTCTTTCAAACGTTCATAGAAATATTCCTACACTCCTTCCTATGATGACATTTAGAATGTTCGTACGAACGATCAAAATCCTGATTTATGAAACATGCAGTGTCCTCTCGTACACACGTTCCTCCGCATTCGTCTGATAATAAATCCCACCTGTGCGTACCCAGGTGCTCGCGTCCGTTCTCGGTCATTTACATTACAGAAACGCCCTCAATTAACCATATTTGGCCGCGCCACATCCTCAACACGCGAGGGGATTCCCTGCGTTCCACTCGGAAGAAAAGAAAACTTGAGATTGAGATATGGTCTGTCAAAATGTGTAAACGAACCAAACAAGTCACGGAGGTTATGAAACGTGGTCAGGATAGTGGAGAGGTTCCAATCGGGAAGAAATAAAAACATCAATGTCATAAACAGGTTGTCATTTACATTTGACATTTAAGGAGTGGTTCTGGAGGATATTCGTTTTATTTGGGAATGTTGTCCGAGAGTGCAGCCTCCTTGCTGTCATTCAGTCTGGTTGCCTTGACAACGTGTGTGTGATCGGGGAGCAGAGGTGGTTCTGGAGGGCTTTTGTGATTGTAAACTAGAATATGAAATAGAATCGGTTTAGTGTGGTTTGTTTGTCGCTCCATGGGTCCCAAATCACAACGTAGCTCCAGAAGGATCTGCTGTTGTTTACTCCAGAGAGCATGCTCTGGCAAATCCTTCACAACAACACTTTTATCTAACGCATCTCAAGCAAAATCACGAGGCAATACACAAGGACAAAAATTTAATATAATAAAATAAAATTAAAAATAATATTATAAATGCTACGCAGTGACGCAGTGGTTAGAGCTGTTGCCTTGCAGCGAGAAGGTCCTGGGTTCGCTTCCCGGCCTGGGATCGTTCTGCATGGAGTTAGCATGTTCTCCCTGTGCATGCGTGAGTTCTCTCCGGGTACTCCGGCTTCCTCCCACAGTCCAAAAACATGACTGTTAGGTTGATTGGTCTGTCTAAATTATCCTTGTGTGTGTGTGTGTGTGTGTGTGTGTGTGTGTGTGATTGTTTGTCCTGTGTGTCTCTGTGTTGCCCTGCGATGGACTGGCTCTCTGTCCAGGGTGTACCCCGCCTGACTGCCCATTGACCGCTGGAGATAGGCACCCCCCCCCCCCCCCCC